TTGTAGATGGAGCTGCCGCAAAAGGTGGTGTTGATGATCTGTGTGTACCGGTTTTCCGGTGTCAGGACACGAGCCGTGGAGAGGAGGAGGGAGGAGAAGGAGGAGGAGAAAAGATATAGCATACGATGGACAGGTTCTTGAACATCTTGGAGACGTTGCAGCTCTTGCTGGACGGGAAGTTGGCCATGAGGTTCGGCCAGCCCGTCGTGTTCGGCTTGCCCATGTTGATGTCGAAGGGGATGTTGCCGCGCGGGTGGAACCAGACCTTGATGCCGTCCGAGTTGAGCTGCAGCGCGTAGACGCCGCCGCCGTTCTTGTTGAAGCCGTCGCCGTAGCTGTCCTTGGCGCCCGTCAGGCCGCAGCCGGCACTTGCGTTTTTTTTTCGTGTTAGCCTCTCTCTCTCTCTCTCTCTCTCTCTCTCTCTCTCTCTCTCTCTCTCTCTCTCTCTCTCTCTCTCTCTCTCTCTCTCTCTCTCTCTCTTTTTGTCATTTTATTGCAGACAGGAGGCGGTCCAAAAAAACTCACGGGTTCTTGACCTCGCCGTCGCACGTCGGGCCGGCCTTCATGTCGCAGTCCCTGCGGACCTCGGTGCCCCGGAGGCTCGGGAACGCGCACTGGCCGCACGTGTGCAGCGACACTATGTTGGCCGACTGGCTGGGCCAGCCGCTGCCCTCGAGTATGTCGATCTCGCTGTACGGGTTCTCGTCGGCATTGTATGCCCAGCTGTTTCGGGGGGGAGAGGTGTTAGGGGACACACAAAGATGACAAGCGAAAGAAGAAGAAAAAGGAAGAGGGAAGAGGGGGGGTTGGTGGCTTCTACGCACAAGGCCGGCCAGCTGCCGCACGCGTTGCCCGGCATGTGCTGGATGTCGACCAGCATCAGGCCGCTGTCCCACGTGGCCTTTGACTCGAGCCGCACCGCCTTGCGGCCGGGGCCCTTGGGGTTGAGGGTGCTGTTGTAGTCGACGCCGATGTAGAGCTGGTTGCCGCGGTAGGCGATGAGGCCGCTCTTGATGCCCTCCTGCTTGCTGACGTAGTCGACGAACCCCGAGGTCGGGTCCCCGTCCGCGTATCCTAGCTTTTGGAAGTACGCCCTCTATATTGTGGTTTTTTGCCCCAAGTTAGTATGCCCACTGCGACATCTTTGATTCCGCTGAACCGCTCTCTGCGGAAAAAAATGATACGTACGTCTCGTACAACAAAGAGGTCGTAGAAGCCGTTGGACTTGTCGTACGTCTTGACAAGCGTGTACGTCTGCTGGGCGCTGACCGCGGCGGCGGCGGCGAGCAGCACGGTCAGGATCTTGGCAAATGCCATATTCTTTTGGTTGCTGGCTTCTGGCGATGGTAACTTCTTGCCCCCGCAGAGTGTTTTGTCCCCTGCTCGCCGAGCATAGGCTTTTATTACCCTGCGAGCGGTTTTGGTGAGAGGGATAAAAGCAACTGACGAGGGAGGGCGAGGACCGATCACTGACAGCCAGAGATTTCCCACAAGCCCTAGGGGGGTAGAGAGCCGGCTGGTTCATAATAAGGCCCCTTGGGTGCGGACGGCAGCCCAGTACGAAAGGGTCACATTCCTCCAAGCTCCTCTCTCTCTCCAGCCCATCCGCCCTCGAGAATTCCATTTTCACTAGCGCAGCTTCGGAGCTACCCAGCTATCGATGCGGGGATTCCATCCTCGTGGAGGCGCGCCCGTCTAGACCATGGCGCCCCCGATGCTGCCACGGCCTTGGCTCGCTTGCCGGCTCCAAGCATCCAAGCCTGGCGGGAGCTGTCGTGAACGAAGTGCTGCCGTGTTGATGATTGCCCTTTTTTTTTGTTGCTCGATGCGCGGACGATGCTGAGCTACAGGACACCGGCTCTAGACCGGAACAGCTAGCGTTAGCAGCCACCGGCATTCTGACAAGCGCGCCCACCCAGCTAGGCCCAGATAGAGTTGCGTAGTCGGGGCCGAGAAATGGAGGATATCTTCCGGGGCGCGGGGGCGTCGGATGAGGCTGGCGCCTCGCCGCCAGCCCCGGCCTGTTGAGCCATTCGGATCCTGCGAGAGCGGATGGCTTCGATGTTAGCCGTATACCGGTCTCAGAGGCGAGTGAGTGGCTGCAAGCTTCGTCCGAGCTGCGCCAGGCTACATTTAGGGTTTCCCCCGGCCACAAAGCCGGACCTACGCCAGCCCCGACAGTGGCGGAAGTGTATAAAGTCACCTGGACCAAGTCAGGGGGCCTTGGCGCCAGCCAGAGGCATAGGCACGCTCGAACTGAGGACGCCAGGTCGGATGTGTTGATGGATGGTTAAGGAGTGATGTCGGATGCACTGAAACATCAAGCTGGACTCAAAGGTGGCAAAAAAAAACCCCCCACCATTTTCGCTACGACTGCAAAGGGAAACGGAACAAATTCGATTTCTCAGGGACCCGATTGGTGGTACCTAGCCTCCCTGATCAGCTCGCCGCCCTTCCAGTACACGACCTCGTCGGGCCCCCTCTCGTCCCAGGGCCGCTCGCGCGAGCCGACCCCGACGCTGGTGACGCGGTAGTACGTGCCCCTGCGCAGCGGCGGCGCCGGCGTCGGCGCGCCCTCGTCGCCGCCCCACGTGGCGCCTACGATGGCGCGCGCGAGCTCGGCCTGGCGGTGGCCGTCCGGGTCGACGAGCAGGCCGGAGCGCAGGAACAGCGCGGCCGCGTCCAGGACCCAGCCCCTGCCACCGCGGCCGGCCCTCGTGAACTCGAAGTTTGGCCGCTCCGCGTCGGCGAGCGCGTCGATGAAGCGCGCGGCGGGGACGTGGCCCGGGAGCGGCGGCAGAGCCACCTCGTGCTGGCCCTGGAGGCGGCGTTGAGACCCCGGGCAGGCCTGGACCTGGAGCCGAGCCAGTGGTCCGTTGCGGCCCGGGTAGGCAGAGGGACTCAGGCTCAGGCGGACCGACCGCCGGTGGTGATCTTCCTTGCCGTCTTGGTCTAAATGTTCATCATCGGCCGGGCCACCGGTCCCAGTGGTCTCCAGATAGATGCTCCAGTGGTTGCCGCCTATTTCCAGGACGTCCTCGGCGACGAAGTAGGCTTGCAAAACGCTGTTCCCGACGTTGCGGATCATGTCCCGCTCCACGTGAGAGATGTAGCTCACACGCTCGAAGGCGGGTGCGGTGTAGTAGATGTGATCATGTGTGATGCTGGTGCGAGACACCATTGGTGCCAGATCCTCCTCCTCATCCTTCTTACTAAAGCAGGCGCCCATTTCTGTCAAGGGGTGAGCGGGGCCCGCAAGTTCGGGGGAAGGGGTGGGGAATCTAATGAAGTTTGGACTTGAAGGGTGTTGGAAGGTAAGTCGACTGGGTGGAGGAAGGTGATGGATGATGGACTTGATATGAGAAAAAAAGCAAAACAACACCGAGCAATGCTGATAATTATACTAGGGCTGGGAAACCACCCAAGATGACAGGGCATGCAAAATCGAGGCTAAAGCTAGCAGCAACGATATGCAAGACAACGAACCGAGGGAATGACGCTGCAAGGTCGAGTGGGCCGACGGGCCGCGGTATGCAGGCCAGACTGCAGACATCTGGGAGTGAGACCGGGTATCAATGCTTTGAATAGCTAGCATACATCTCGTCAAGGAACAGGCAACCTCCACAGTGCCCCCCGTGATGGCGTTCCTGAGACAGAGAGACGAACCGGCCGGTCATACGTGGCCCAATGGAGCCGGCGCGCGTGGGCTATCGCGATTGGCTGCGAGGCTGGGCGGTTCCGTGAATGGCTTCCAAGCAACGGGAGCACAGCATCGTGCCAGCGAATTCCACTGCTCGTACTGCTTTGTGGCCCAGTTGTTGCGAGGTTCCATATTCCGGCTCCACAGACGGCATCCCCCTGGTTGTGGTTTTGGTGTGGGTGGCCAGGTGGGAGTCGAGCTGCTCGACACAGCTGCCTAGGAAACAACGGTGCTGCAACCCGCTGATACGCCTGTGCCTGATTATCTGTTGCCGGCCCCATCACAGACCACATCGCGTGGGATATTGCGTCTCTCTAGTCCCAGTCCCTGGAGAATCACTCAACTGGTGTCAAGATGCAATGCAGGATGTGCTTCACGAGGTTGTGTGTTTGAGTGTAAATCTACCAAGGCAAAAGAACTAGATTTCTCTGGGGCATTGGGTATAAGTAGCACGTACCTGCTGTTTTGTTTACCAGTTTCATAAGCCGTGGGCGACGCCAATGTCACCAAAAATATATGTGGTAGAATCCGAAATGCTCATCAATCCATCTACTTTCCTTGACTTGCGAGCCAGGCCTTCCCCTTGAGCATCTCGATGACGCTATCCCTCATCCACCAGCCGTTCTCGCTCGCGGGAACGTCAGGTACTGCGTCAACAGCAGCGCCCACCCCAGTGTCTGCCCGCTCCGGCTCCAAGATTTGAACACCTTTGCTGCCCGCTTTATTCCTGCTCTTCCCACGGCTGCTGTGACCTCCTGGCGGGGGCATCATGCTTGCAGCATCCGCCTCTGCGGCTGAGCTGCTACCGCCCTCAGTGGCCACCCTTCTTCGATCCGCCCACTCAAACAACATCTTGAGGCCAAGCAGCTCGTCGCGCCCGCCTACCTCGAGCGCCTCCTCCAGCACCAGCCGCGAATCCACCGCGCTGGCGCCCTCGTCGCCTAGTGCGCATCGATCCAGCACCGCAGCGCGCTCCGCATACGTGATGCCCTGTAGAGAGGGCAGATTGAATACCCACTCCAGCGGATCTCTGGAGGTGGCCGTGACAGCCGTAAGGCTAGTGCCATCTCCTTTGGCCGCCGTGTTCAACGCGTTACTGTCACTATGATGTCCGAGAGCCTGCAGAGTCGCCCCGAAGACGCCGTCGCGAGTTGGTCTGCGCCGCAGGTGGAGACACTGGTTGGCGCGGAAAGCAGCAACCATGTCGGCGTTGGCGCCCGGCGCCGCCTTGCCTGCCTTCTTGGCGGCGCCAGACTTTGCCGGGGCGGTGAAATCGATAGTGAGGTCCCAGTAGCCCATGGATGCCGCATCAGTTCGCACGGAAGCGATATCGTCGAGCGGCGGGAGGAGGCATGGGGTTTGACGCCGGATGAGCATATGGACTGGGGGCTCAGGAGGGACGTCGGGGGCGGGCGTGGCAGCACCGGCGTGCGCGTTTTTGGCGCTCCGCGACCTAGTGTACGGTGTCGGTGTGCTCGTTGCGGCCGACTTCTTAGTCTTGGCGCCTAGTTTCGGATCAAAGGCCGTGGTCGTTGCGGCCGGTGCTGTCGGCTGCCTGAGCTGTATCATGACGGGTACCGATATAGGCTGCCCTGTAGCCATGTCCTTGACAACCAGGCAACGCGGCTCTGTGGCAAGGACCCAGAAGTGCCTGAAGGCTTGTAGGTGAGAGCTGTTATCCTGAACGGTGGCGGGGAAAAGCGGGTAGAAGGCAATGAGCAACGCGGCAATGGCGAGGTCGCTCGTGCCGAGCGTGGTGGTGCCGCAGCCCAGGAAGAGCGTGCCGATGGCCAGGTGAGCTGCCATGTGGCTGCCATATGTCGTGTGCGGGTCGTCTCGCCCATGCAGCGCGCGAAGGCGCCGAAGCACCACCAAATCACCCGTTCCTGCCATGACGATTGCGCATGACAACGCTAGCACGTTTACGCACATGCGCACGTTCGCCTGCGCCATCTGCCCGTCGAACCTGGCCACAGGCTGCCTTAGGGCCCGCATGAAGCCGTCAAGGTACTGCACAAGGACGTCCCGCACCTTCTCGTTGGCCGAGCCGGCGAACCGGAGACCCATAGCGAAACATAGGCCTGTCATGATGGAAAAGAATGGGAGGTCGCTGCTCCTCAACGTTGGTCCTGGCCACTTTTTGTGCAGGCGCTGGTGCTCAGCCGGCAGGTTTTCATGGATCCAGTCGGTAGTGGGCTTGATGCGGCTCCAGAGTATGAGATTCTTGGCCACGGTCCGGAGTAGCAGGATGTCGGGCCGCACGTAGTCGAACTGAAGAATCGAGTCGGGGACGTCAATCTTGCGGGCCACGATGTGGTCCTCGGATTTCATGAAAATGAGCGCTATGGCTACCACGGCCCCTGCAGCGGAGCGGTCCAGCACGTTCACGAGCTCAACCTTCTTTGCCGTCGAGGCAACCGTCAGGAGCTTCTCAGTCAGGCGCATGTCGTGGAGCCCCTTGAGATCTGACCCCTTGCCAAGGTTGATCAAGCCAAGCGCAAAACCGGCAGCCAGTCGGTAGCCCTCGTTTCTCAGAGGGTCCTCTTCCTCCTCGTCCTCGAGATGCTCGATCTCGGACATCATCACCTCGCTCATGCGCCGGTGCTGGGTGTTGCAATACAACAACCCAATTCCCATGATACCCGTCGTCTGGGTCAGATGCGACAGGTTCAGCTCGGCGGCTCCACGCGGCAACATCCTCGTAACATGCACCGAGAGAAGCCGCGTGATGAGGGAGTCCATGGTTCCAATGTACGACGCTGCCAGGCCAAGCAACAACCCTATCGATGTCATGGTGTGTTTCGGCGTCAGGTACTTAAATGCCACCCACTTGGCCACCGACTTGAGGTGACCGTTGAGACCAAGCGCAAGAAGGAAGCCGGCGTGTCGATTGTTAAGATCGTTGCCGGGCTTGTTGAATAGAATCCACGAAGTATCTATGCCCTTGGCCTGCGGGGAGATGGATAGCCCGCCAGCCACGCCCTGGTGGAAGAAGGCCCAGTTTACCTTCTCTTCGGTGAACATGGACTTGTCCACGCTCACCGAGACATTGGCGGGTTTGATGTTGCACACGAGCTGAAAGCCACCGATTGGAAACTTCTGTGTGAGAAGAGGAAAGCGCAGGGCGTAGAAAAGCATCCCGCGCCCCGCCGGGATAGCCAGCGTGCTGGTGGCTGCAGTCGTGGCAAGCTCCTTTTGCTTCTCCAGGTACTCCGCATCTGTCCATTTCGGATCAGGATCCAAGCGAAGCGTTCGCGGCTTCTGTGACGACAGTAGATTCTGTGCCTCGTTCAGTCTACGATCATCCTTGAAGAGGGCGCGGACCACTGCCTGGCGCTCGCTGCCCTCGACCTCCTCGATGCTGTTGCTGTTAAGGTCGTCGAGGTTCCTGCATAGGAGCTGGACATCCCATTGGACCACATGTGAGGGATTCTGGATATCATTCAGCGAGTTAGAGATGATAGTCTGCCGGCGGCGCGAAGTGAAAACTTCCCGGTTGCGTTGCGAGTCGGTTCGAAAACAAGGAGCTAGGGGATAGGTGACACGTACGCTGTTGCTGATGATACTGTGTCGGAACAGCCTATCAGGCTTGAGGACGGCGCTAATATCGGTACGGTCCACAAGCTTGAGCAAGCCATTTGACCAGGTTGGTGGTGGATGAGACTGACACATCGATATGGCATCCCGTAGCGGGGTGGTGATGGCCTCTGGAAGCGTGTCCAGGACTTGATTTGTAAACCCGCAACGATGAAGCGTCTCCACAATCTGCACATGGCTACTCATGGACGAGAGCGAGTTGAAAAAGTCTCTGAACATCAGCGTCCGAGGCGTGATTCTACCCCACCGGCGCTCGTCTGGGCTGTCCTTCTGGCTCTGCTGGGTTGCGGTCGAGTAAACGTCTGCCAGCGTCGGGAATGGGTCGCCAGCCACGCCGGTGATTTTCTCTTGTATCCAGTCGAGTACCGCCGGAATTTTCTCTGGTCGAGGTAGAGGTGGACTCAGGTCGAGATCTGAGTGGGGGAAACGGTTAGAAATATGAAACCCAACGAGTGGCGAGGGCAGGCGCCGGCTTCATGATACCAAAACTAACCTCCATCGTGTCTTGGATCCACGCTGACCTGAATGCCCAACTCGTACAGATGCACGAAGTCGTGCCACCTGAGCCACCTTGCGATCTGACAAGTGACCACTCGCAAGTCTGCGGGCCCAGGGAACAGGGATTCGGCTGCGAGTGTGTCGAGCTTCTGCTCCTCCATGAGTAGATGGAGCCCCATGATGATGCTCCAGGCCGCGCTCCTTCTCGTCTCGAGGCTGCGGCCTGACGCTGTTGGCATGTAGCCCGACTCTCCAACAAGCAGATCACCGGCCTCACTCGCCATGAATTCCCGAGCATATCTGATATGTTGGTCGAGGAAATCTTCCTCCCCGGGCTGGCTGGCATCTGGGCCTACCATTTCAGCGAAATGGGCCTCCTCCAACACCCACCTCCACCCTCCGCGCTGCATCCAAGCTGGCGATGCGAGCGACCGTGGGGTCTCAAAAGCGAGCATTTGGTTCCATTTGCTCGGTTGATTTGGCAAGGCTGATGGGTCCGCAGCGGCTGGCTGGCTGCGTGACACACCCGAGGGGCCAAGTGCCAGGAACAAGACGAAAAGCTCCATCACAAGACTCGACCATTCAACGTTCGCAACTTGGCCGGTGTAGTGATCACCCATCCACTGCATAATGTGCCACCATGCCGCGAGCATGCGTTCCCCATGGGAGTCCGGGAGGATGCTCCGGCAGGCCTGTAAAACTCTGTGGACTTGGCGCGTTCTAGGTTCAAGCTGTATCTGTATCCGGTGGAATGCGCCCTGCTTGTCGCGGATGTCGACTATCCCCCGCGCCTTCGGGTGGCACACCCCTTCCAACTGAGCGCCGGACAGCCCGACGCGGATCGGCGCTCGTTCTGTACTCCCCTGGCGAGTAAATCTGAAAGGATGCTCGAGGCTGTTCAAGTTCTCATAAAAGAGCGGCGGAAGAGTGACCTTGGTCAGCTCGCTCCAGGGACCCTGAATGCTGAATTCTCGATGACCAGCCATATTCTCGGAGAGAATCAGGATCATGGACTGGTCGCCATCGACGATCTTGCAGGAATCCACCACGCTTTGCGCCCTCCGGAGCGGGCCCCAGGTCACAACCATGTCCGACTCGACGGGGCCTTGTCTTCTCCTTCCTCCCTTGGAGGCGTCGCCGCGCGTGGCCGTGGACCTCTTTTTGCGCGACTGAACATGTAGAGTCACGAGCTGCAGGCGCTTGTCGACAGGGTCTTGAATTCCAATGACAAGGTACGTGCGGTCCTCCTCGTCAACCGCAAACGGCGGGCCAACCACGATAAACACCTTGCACTGGCTTCTGGCGGGCCGGTCTGAAAGCGAGAAGCGGACGTTGGCGTTGTCCATGGGCACGCTGTGGATCTTTGTCAGGCGGATTTCCTTGGTGAGACCGTCAACCAGGTCACCATCCTCCAGCGCGATGTTTTGGAACCCCTCAAAGTCCCCGCCATCTCGCAGGGAGTCGAGTATGTCAACTGCCGGGGGCTCCAGGAAGCCCTTGCCACTTTGACTGTAGTTGCCGCTCATGTTCACTGGGGCATAGCCTCCACTGATGCGGCCGCGCTGGCCCCCATGCGAGTCGAGTCGCCTGCCACCAGGGTGTGTGATCATGGATTCGTTGGCAAAGGGGGCGCGCTCATGCGATGCCGACAGGTCCGCTCTAGCAAGAAGGGAGCTCACGCGCCGCGACTGACGCCTCGTCACTTCACCCCCCTTGTCCGAGTCCATGGCCAATGCCAGGTCCAGCGATTTCTCGATTCGCTCGCTCCTCCGCGTCTTCTTTACCGGCAGTTGTGCTCCCATGCTCTCCCGGAAACTGGGCGCAACAGGGCTAGCGGCCCGGCTCTTCATCCCAGGCTGCATGGAACTTCGGCGCCGAGATGGTCCGGGCTTGGGCTTCTTGGTCTGGCGTGTGAAGACATCTTCGGGTTTGAGATAGACGAGCTTCCAGATGGTATACATGCTTGTCTCTCGGTTGACCGTGATGGCCAGCACGAGGTCCTCGGCAGCGTCCGTCCTCGACTGGCCAGGCCGCCTAACAGCCTCGACATGGATAATTTCTTCAGCTGTATCGAGAAACGGTGTCCGGGGGGACGTCCGTCTCTTGCGGCCTTTCGACGGTTTGTCTGGCTGGGAGACAACCAGGCCCAACTCGAGAAAAGGATCCGTCAAGCACACCAGTCGGGGCCAATGCGAGTCGGTCTTCTCCAGGGGTGGCTCCCACATGTTTTCGAGGGTAGAGCTCAGCCTCAGGGGCAGGGTTTTGGGCTTTCCCAAGCCCTCGGTCGAGAACTGAAGCTGGGCTACGCGAGGAGAGAGGGGCGAGAGGGGCGGGGCGATGAAGTCGTTCGGAGGGACACGAGGGAACTTGAGGGTGACAGGCGAAAGGTGGTCGGCCTTGTGTCTGCGCTGAATGATGACGCCGATCGGGGCGGCACAGGCAGCCTCGACCTCGAATGGCATGTGGACGATGTGGCTCGTGCCGGAAAGGAAGTATATGTGCGCCTGGGTCTTGAGGAACACCACGAGTGCCTTGGACAGCCCGGACCGCTGGCCGCCAGTCTTTTCGTCCTGATCATCGCCCTCGCTCGGTTTCTCGTCGTCCTCGGGGGTGGGGAAGTGCGTGATTAGGGCCTGGCTGATGGGCTCGCTCTCAGCAGCAAACTTGAAGCTCTTGCGGAAGAGCCCACCGCGAGACCAAAGAACGGTGTCTCGGGTAATAAGGAGCTCGTCATCGCCGTCATCTCCGCAACGATGGCCGTCGGGGATGACCTCCCAGGTGTAGAGGTCTGGTGATGGGTCGGGAGGGAGAATCTCTTCGCTAACGGCATGGCAGAGTCCTGTCGGCTGGTGGATGCCGAAAGACGTCACCGAAGCCATCCTGCTTGCTTTGATCCATAAGCTTTGCAAAGTCAGGAGTCGGCGTCGTGCGGGGTGCGAGAAAAGCCCGTTTGGGGTACTTGGGCGTGTGGGCGTGCGGTCCAGAAGCCAAGTCCAGGTAATAAGCACGCTTGGCCAATGTCACCCAGAGTGAACCCGTCATGGGAGTGTCAAGTCTTGACTGCCGATGCAGGTTGAGGGCCTGCCTTTCTTGGTGGCGTAGGAGCTCCGGCTGGCAGTCGCGTCGCACGCGAATTCCGTCCTCGATCCCAACCTGGCGGTTCCCTCCCTCCATCCCCACCAACGGCGGCGCCTGAAGTGAATAAATCGAGGCGGGGACCCTTGTTATTGGTTGTGTTCCTGGTAAAGTGGGCCGCGCAACCAATGCGATGCCTGAGGCGAGCACTTAATTCGTGACGTAGCTGAGGACCTCGGCCTGAGCTCCAAAGCTCCCAACCCAAAATCTCCATACCACCCGCCCCCAGCCAGAGCTCCCACGCCATGCGCAGTGCCTCTCGACCGCCCTAATGTCCGACGCGTCGCCTGAGGTAGGCGATGGCACAAGGCCCCTAGATGCGGCCGCCAGCCCGCCGTCGCGTCCTGCCGCCGACGCCGAGCCTCAGGCCCAAGAAGCCCAAGACGCGTCCAGCAGCTCCCCAGAAGCGGTCGAGTCCGCGACAGGCGGAGCAGCCGCCGACGCCAAGCCTGATGAGGCTGTCGAGTCGACGGAGGAGGACGACGAAGATGATGACGTAGAGGAGGAGGGGGACGACGACGACGACGAAGATGACGACGACGAAGATGATGATGAAGAACCAGAAGAACCACGACTCAAGTACACTCGTCTAACCCAGCATCTGGGCGCGGTGTACAAAAATGGCGATGCCACGAGCAGCTTCCTCGTCGCCGGCGACAAGATGGCAAGCTCTCTCGCCCCCTCGACCGCTCTTCTGCGCTAACACATGCTGCGTCGCTCTAGATCGTCGGCACGCACAGCGGTAACATTGTATGGCCCCTTCCCCCAGCCGCTTAAGACACCGACCCCTGACCAAAATGCCGTGCAGCATGTCATGCAACTGCCTACCTTCCAGTCTCTCTTCGTCTACCACGCGCACTCTGCTTCGGTGACATCGCTGTCGATATCCCCTTTTCCTCCGCCGTTGTCTGTGCTCAAGCCAGACGCCGTCCTCAAGGCCGCGGCTCTCAGCGGTGCCGGCAGTCCCCTCCGTCCGGCATCTAGACATTCCAAGCAATCCGATGCGTCACCCGCCGCTGTCTCGAGAAAGCCCAAGGAGTCTCCAGCTGTCCCCAACATCCCATCGAACAACATCTACATCGCCACGTCCTCTATGGACGGCAATGTTTGCGTGCAGTCATTGATCGATCGAAGGGATGTGCAGCTTCGCAACTTTGCGCGCCCCGTCCAGACGGTGGCCCTGTCGCCAGATTATAAAAACGACCGTACCTATCTCTCAGGGGGTTTGGCCGGGAACCTGATACTCACCGTAGGGGGGCATCCCGGGAAGAGCAACTCAACAACGATAGGGACAGCTGCCGCCACGGCCTCCGGATGGCTAGGCACCATCGGTCTTGGCGGCAACGCCGGCAAAGACACCATCCTTCATTCAGGCGAGGGGACCATCAGCAGCATAAAATGGTCCTTGTCTGGCAAGTACGTTGTCTGGTTGAACGAGCACGGAATCAAGATCATGCGGGCCAAGATTAAGCTCGAGAGCGCCGATCTGGACGACGCCTGGAAGCGCATCGGCCACATCGACCGACCACAGACAGCCGAGTGGGACGCCATGGCAAGCGCATGGAAGGGTAGAGCTGAGTGGATTGACGAGCAGGCCGTCGACTCGGACGACGGTGAGGTTGCCGAACCAAAATTCGAACGCACCGGCTCGCCTTCTCCTGCAGCCGAGAAGCTGAAGCAGCAGCAGTCGAAGCACGACAAAAGCATTGAGAAACTTGTGGTTGGATGGGGCGGCACGATATGGGTCATCCATGTGCACCCCGGTGGAATGGGAGTCGGCAAACACGTTGGCGAGCGGTCGATCGGCCGAGCCGAAATACATCAAAAGTAAGTGACCATCAGCCTAGTTGAGGATGTCTTCTCCAGAGTGTCGGGGTTGCGGGATGCTGATTAAAGATTAAATATTCAACAGACTTCGCATGGACTGTTTGATTTCGGGAATTTCCTTGTATACCCAGAACCTTTTGTTAGTTCTTGCTTATTGCTTGCCTAATGACGAGGATGAGGAGGAGGATGAGGGACCCCATACGCAAGGGCAGGGTCATCAGTCGAAGCCCTCTACAGCCTCTGGAAGCAGCGAGCCGTCTGGGGGCATCCGACGGAGGCAGAACAATCAGCCACCAGAGCTGCGACTGATCGACCTCGGGTCGCAATCCGAGGTTTACAAAGACGGTCTCAGCATGAGCCGGTACGAAAGGCTGTCCGCAAGCGACTACCATCTCGGCGTTTTACCGGCGTCCAATGCTGCGGCGGTTACTTCTTCAAAGGGCGCACTTGAGGCTCTGGCTGGCTTCGGTACAGACATGTGGAATGCGGCCATCAATCCCAAGATGCTGTTCAGCTCCGGAGCCAGCATCATGAGCAGCAACAGCAACGATGCCAGCTCAGCTACCAAGGCCCACACCGTCTCCGGAAGCATCAAGGGCATGATGAGAATGCAGACGCAAGCCATTCATCCCAGCCTCGATAAGCCAGGAACCAAGATTTTTATCCACAGCCCTTACGACTGCATCCTCTCGACCAAGCGAGATTTGGGTGATCATCTCGTATGGCTGCTAGAACGGCAGGAGTATCAGAAGGCCTGGGAGCTGGTCGATGAGCACCCAGAGATCATGGCCACGGTCACGAACCTGCCGGAGCTGCCTCCCTCAACGCCAACTGCCGACAGATCTGGCCCAACGACACAGTCCTCGGACGATTTCTTTGATGATAGCGCTTCGGTTGTGGAGGCGGCAAGCCGCGTGTTCAACTCTTCGGCCGCAAAAGAAAAAAGACGGATCGGAGAGTTGTGGATGCAGGAGCTGGTTGAGGAGGGCGACTGGGTCCGGGCTGGGCAGGTGGCGGCCAAGGTTTTGGGGAGCGCTGACCGATGGGAAAAGTGGATTTGGACGTTTGCCGGCGCCGACAAGTTCGACGAGATCGCCAACTACATGCCAACGGAACCCATGCGCCCGCCGATCAAGACGTCTGTTTACGAAGTTGTCTTGGGTCACTACATCAAGGAGGATAAACCACGGTTCCGTGAGCTCTTGGATCGTTGGCCAACAGACCTCTTCGACATCAACACTATCACCACGGCTCTGGAGAACCAGCTCAACTACCGTGACGTTAGGGAGAGCAGCGTGGAAGACGGAGAAAAGGGCCGTGACTGGCGGATAGTGATGGAGAGTCTGGCGCGGCTGCACGAGGCCAATGGCCGCCATCGTGAGGCTCTCCGATGCCACATACGGCTGCAGGATGCCGACAGCGCGTTCCGCCTCATTAGGGAACGCCACCTTGCCGATGCTGTGGCAGACGACATCCCCAGCTTTATCAATCTGCGAGTCCCAGCTGGCATGGAAAACAAGATGAAGCTGTCGGAACTTGAGGAGGCAACTGCTGACGCTATTACGCTCCTCGTTGACGAGGCACAGCATGGCCTGGTCAAGCCTGAGATCGTCGTGTCCCAGCTTCGCGAGAAGGATTTGAACACGTACCTCTTTTTCTATCTGCGCGGCCTGTGGAGCGGGGATGGGATCCAGCAACAGGAGCACGAGATGGGCGACCGGCTGCGCGACGAGAGCCGATCGCTTGTGGACGACTTTGCAGACCTCGCCGTTCATCTCTTCGCGTCGTACGACAGAGCACTGTTGATGGAGTTTCTCGAAAAGTCGCTATCGTACTCGTACGAAAGGGCAGCCTCGGAGTGTGAAAGCTACAATTACATCCCCGAGCTGGTTTACCTATACGCCAAGACGGGCCAGATGAAGCGAGCGCTCTACCTTATCATCGACCGTCTGGGTGATGTCAGCCGGGCTATCGCCTTTGCCAAGACGCAGGACGACCCAGACCTTTGGGAGGACCTCCTCAACTACAGCATGGACAAGCCGCGCTTCATCAGGGGCCTGCTCGAGGAGGTTGGAACCGCCATCGACCCTATCACGCTAGTTCGCCGGATACCCCAGGGACTCGAAGTGCCCGGCTTGCGCGAGGGCCTCACCCACATCATGAAGGAGCATGAAATTCAGCACAGCATCTCATCGGGTGTGGCGCGCGTCCTCCGCTCCGAAGTTTCAACCGCCCAAGCCACACTACGGGGAGGGCAGCGGCGGGGCGTCAAGTTCGAGGTCGCCGCCGTGTCACAGAACCCTGGTCACCTGCACATCGAGCCGAAAGCAGCGCCTGCAGCCACAGCTGGCATCGCCACACCCAATGGGGTGGGTGCTGCGTCGGCGTTGGCAGGAGAGGGCGACTCGGTACCCGCCATCCCCGACCCCTCTGTCGCACAGCCGAAGGAGCCAGAGAAAGAGTGGTCACCGGGCCATTGCGCAGTCTGCTTCGAGGCCTTTACCGAGTGGGAGGTAGAGACTCTGGTCGGGTTCGCATGCGGCCATGTGTTCCACCTCTCGCATCTTCTCGAGACTCTCAATCCCGGCGGGCACCAGGCGGAGGCCAAGCAGGCAAATGGGGACGGCCCCTGGGTCGGCGAAAGGGCGAGTCGACGGAGGCAATACGTGGGCTCCAAGGTTACACACGCTCGGCTGCTCAGGGACAAGATCCAAGGAGGGTGTCCCGTCTGTCCAAGGAAGAGCAAGGAGATGTTATTAGCTTAGAGGAGACTCCTTTTTTTTCAATATGGTATGCCAAGTTTGAAAGCACGTTGGGAGTTATACGGCTTTTATTTTATGCAGCGTCACATGGCGGTGTCTCTACACATACCTCAACGCTGTACGCATCAACATATCTGGTGTCACTAGGGCTACGCATTTCAGTATACACAGACGCATAAGTACTTGTTTATTTACAGCAATGGGCAAGCTATACCTTCCATATTTTCAAGTGTCTGAACGGCTCGTGAGGACTCGACATTGTGTTCTCGCCATCTAACCCGTGCCGCAAAGCGTACTCACTTAGAAGAATGCTGTTTCCTCGCACGCAGGGTTGGCACCTGCGCGACGTGGAACCGCCCTGGCCGCGAGCCTGCCCCTTGCGCCTGTCAAGGTAGCCCCAAGCCGAGTGAAACTTGCTCGCATCTGGGCGAGCTCAAGCTCGGTAAGATACCTGTCGAGGTCGCTCCAGACACCGGAATAGTCCTCATACCCGTCAGCAATCGCGGTGTTCCCCAGCCAGCAGGAGGGGGGCTGGCCGGAGTGCTGCTGCTGGTCACGCCGAGGGGCGTCGTCGTCGTCGTCGACCCGGCAGTCCCCGATGTGGGGGTGCCGCTGCTCGACGTCCTCGGCTTGCTGCTGCTGCTGCTGCTGCGGCATCTGTCCGCCGCTGCCGCCGCCGCTGCCGGCTCGGGACTTTTGCGCACCGTCGCCGCCCTTGGGCCGGGAGGCGGCTCCGGGCCTAGCGGCGGAGTGGCTGCCGCGGGCGGCGTCCTTTGAGTCGCCCGTGTGGTGCTCGGCGGCCTCTCTGGGCTCGACTCTTTGGGACCTAGACATTTAGGGTGCTGGAAGAAGGGTTGCGCTAAGGGGGGTGTGAGGGTTAATGTCGTGGTTGGAGGAATGTGCGGCAACGGCGAGGTGAAGCTTGCGGATATTGTCTCGCGGAGCAACAACGTCAGGGACTGTTCTGTTCATTTTTATACATCCTGGTTTCTCTCCCAGGCTATGCCTACTCTTTTGTTGTTTGTAGACAAAGGCCCCCTCGCATCAAAGAAATGCCCACATCCAACAGTTGTCAGTCACAAAGCCGCCATCAGTGGATAATCACGGTCGCCAAGACCAGAAAGTCAAAGAGCCTTCAAAAACTGAGCACTATTTTGAGATTTTGTTCCTCCCAGTTTGTGGAATGGCAGTAAAGAGGGAAGATGTTGGAGCTAGAAAACGGAAGCGCGGCCTCAATGTCGCTCCTCCATCCAACCAACGAATTGTGGAAGAACGTTCTCGCATGACGCCATGCCGCATCACAGAGTCCATATGGCCGCCATCAAAGACCCTTGTCAACTCTTGTTCAGCACCCCCCACGGCTAGGCAAGATTGCCTACCACGCTCACCACAAAAAAGACGGCAGTCCTACGGGAGGTCCCGGAGGTTGAACGAAATTGTTAGTGCCGTCATATTTTTTTCCTGTCATCATCCCTTGTTATCCCAGTTTTTCCTTTCATGCTTTAATTCCATTTTTCTTTTTCTTTATCTTTGGTTCCGTATCGATTCCTGTTCCTGTTCCTGTTCCTGTTCCTCTATAGAACTGCCTTTCCTTTTGTGGTAGGCGTGCCTAGGTGCTTGGCATGTCTATTCTAAACGAGTGCCGTATCCCGCTGCGGCTGAGGTGGTGCATTCCACGCACGTCGTCGGACCACGCTACTGTACTCTCGACGCCGCGGACCGCTCCCGGGAATGCTTGGTTCCACACAGCGCACCCCTGAGCTTTCCTCGATAGGGCTGGCGGTGGTGTGATGGTCTAGAAGTCTGATGGGACACGCACTCCCCCACACTCCGCCGTGGGACGTTGACAGGTGACAGGCCTACAGCTCTCTCCCTACACTAGCAGGGACTAGCGTTGGCGTTTGGGGCTGTGACAAGCAACAAGCGAGAATGCAAGCTGGATGGCTGGAACCTCAGGTCGATTCCAACTAATACAGACCGCCCGATTCCAAGGTCGAGACACAAGGTGGGCCGCATTTTCCCGATAATGTAGCTAGGTAAGGTTCTATCTAGTGCAACTTGCGCTCGCTTATTCCGCTCACGGTTTACCTTGTTTGGTCGCTTAGCGGCCTCTAGATGGTCTTGAAAGGGATATCCCGACGGTACGTCCACGACCCGCCGTCGCCGGAGATCTTGTCGTACCCCAACACACCCTCAACGAGCGCGAGAATGATTGTGGGCGAGACTGTCTGCTGCGGCCCGTAGCGGTTGTCCGCGACGAGCCATAGGCAGTCGTACATGGCGCCCAGGCCGAAAGCCGCCTGCTGGAGCTTGACCGTCACCGAAGGAGGCTTTTTTTTTCGGGTGGGGCGGCGGGTGCTATTTGTCAGTCTCGTCGTTCGCTCTCACGCGGCGGCGGGCAGAGAGTCTGGCCTCAGACGGCTCACCTTGTTGGTCATGTTGTGGTTCGCGCGGCTCCAGCGCTTCAGGTAGTCGGCGATGAAGGACAGCGACGGGCTGTGGCTGCACTGGACCTCGACCTCGGTCAGGCCCTTGGCGTGCACGATGAGGTGGTACGGCGGCCTCAGGAGCAGCTCGTCCGGCCGCGGCAGGGTGTCGGCGTTGGGCATGAACTCGGGCTTCGGCAGCCCGGGCGGAGGAGCACCGCCGCTGACGGCTGCCGCTACCATTGCCGCTGGTGTCGCCTTCTCTACGACCTCGAGCTTGCCCGTGGCCTCGTCCACCTCCACGTCGGCCCAGTCGTCGCCTGCGGCCGGCGCGGAGTGGCTAGGGAGCTTTACGCTCTTCTTCTTTCTGCCTTCGTCAAAGGACGCGTGGATCTCGCCCTTGTACAGCGGGAACAGCTCATATGGCTGGTTCAGCGTCCGCCGGGGCAGCGTGATGACGAAGCCCCCTCGTTCGTGGGAGAACTCGGTCGACGCACTGGTGTCTTTGCTGACCTGAAAATTCCTTTTTTTCAGCATCCACCAGCTCACTCACCAATGTCAAGGCAGGATACCAAGACTTACATCGACAAAGGCCCGCAGACGCGACCACGACTCCTTGAGCTTCTCCAGGAGCTTCTCTGTCCACAGCTCGTTCTTCTCGTCATCGAGAAGCTCCGTCAGCGCCTTGGCCCATGTCTCGACAGCCCCGGCCACGGCGGCAGCAAAGTTGCCCTTGTCGATGTAGAAGCTGTCGAGCTCGGCGAGGATGAGCGGCCACTCGGGCTCAATTTCGACCTGAAGGCCGAGGAGCCCCTGGAGCTCTTTCAGTGCGACCTGCACCGGCGCGTCCTTGTTATTCCAGTGGTCGCGGATGCCGACCTGGACTTTGAGAGGCCTAGATTGGCGAGATAGGCGTCAGATTGGCCAATTTTCCCAAGAATTACATGGCATTGTGACAACTTACACCGGCGCCATGTTGATTTTTTTTTTTGGCTAAATTCTTTTTGGTGAAGGGGTTTCGGCTTCGAGACGAGCTACGGGTATGAATCGTTGGCTGTGGAGGCTTACTTGGAATAACAAAACTGGGCGAGAGCAGGCCAGTCAAGAAGGCGCCTGTGATTGAAGATGTTGAGAAACTAGCTCGCCAACAGAACTGTCGACATTGCTTTTCTTTCCAGAAGAGAAGCTTTCAGGCTTTCTGGCAGGCGTGGGTGCATCGCGCCAACACCTGTCGACCCCGCTCAGCTGAACATCGTGGCGCATCTCGGAGAATAGCGCAGGCAGCCGGGCACGTTGTCTTGGTCTCACATTCCGAGCTAGGCTGCGCCGTCCCGGCCTAGGCGCAGATAGCGCCGTGGACCCTTCACGTCCCGCGCTTCCAGCAGCGCACACCGCACATGCCAGGGGCAGACATGGACTGACACCGCCTCGCTACCCGGATGGCACTAGACACAGCCCTCCACATCAGCCAGGGACGGGGTGGCCCATAACGGACGGGGTGATGTAGGTGACTCCCGCGGGCTGCAGGGTAGCGCCGTGGTTGGCGGATCCCGCTGTTCGCGTCTTGCGTATAGTGTGACATCTTCCAGCCCGTGGGGCGGTCTGAAGCCTCCCTTGTATCTGCGGCTGAACCGCATACTTGCGGCGATCGAGCGGGATGTTCGGGGGAAGGAGGGGGGATTCTCCGCCAGCTGCCTTGGTTGGAGAAGTGCTGCCTGATAGGAAGCAAGAGAGGATGGCTGTGTGAGGGCCGTGTTGGTCGCTGGAATCTTTTAAAAAGCCGGCCACTTCCCACATCACTTCTCCCTTCCCAACACTCCATCACCACGCCACACTCGACTAGGCATTCCCACACCATTCCACTTTTACAATCTCGTCCATCCAGCTTTTACCCATCAGTCACAATGCCTCGCCTTCCCCCTGCCGAGAAGCTCCCCCTCGCCCTGAGGAAGAACGGTATGGCTACAAGTGACCCATCCCCTTGACCCCACCATGATCTCCTGCTGACAATGGACCTTCAGTCCGTGACGATTGGGAGAACAAGAAGGAGGGGTTCGAGAAGGAGCTCACTGAGCTTCTGGGAGGAGTCGAGTGGTCCCTCAAGGAGATCAACCCCCTCGCCATCTGGCCGTACCACAACGATGGCTACGCCAAGGAGAGCCTGGGTAGCTGCATTGCTGCGTGAGTTGTATTCTTTCTTCTCGCCATCATAGCCCGGCAACTGACAGTAAACAGCTACGTCGCCGGCGCCATCTACCAGCTGAAGTACTTCATCCAGCAGCACGGCGAGGAGGAAGCCGTCAAGGAGATCAACGAGATCGCCTACGAGCATTCGATGATCCTGGACTTTGACGAGGAGAAGAAGCTTGGCTCGTACGGCGGCGTCGAGATCGCCGACGGCCGCATCCGCCTCGGGTTCGCGCCCCAGTGCCTCGGCACCAACGTCGACTACTGCATCGATGGGACCAAGTTCGCCCAGGCCCTCAACGACGCGGCCCCGGCTCCCGGCACGTCGGCGCCCATGAGCTACCTCGCCCGGAACGACATCCGGATGGAATACGACGCCAAGATCGAGGAGACGCGCAAGAAGCTTGCCGAAATGCTCGAGAGGCCCGAGATCAAGCTGGTGCCCAACTTCGAGGAGGCTTTCGCCAAGATGACCGAGGCCAAGGCCAAGGACAAGAAGAAGGTGATGAGGGACGACTGGCAGCAGAACCTCGGCAACTTTGTGCGCCGCTACTACGAGGGGCTGGAATACCAGGCCAAGTACCAGAAGTTTGGCGAGGTTTGTTCCCCCCTGTCCCTGCTAGGCATATCAATTGGCGTTTGTGCAAGACGTCCACTAACAGTCGTGTCCGCCCATCTAGGACGAGATGCTGCGCGAGGGTCTCAACGAGGTCCTGGAGTCGGGCGAGTTCCGCTTCCGGATCGTGGACCAGCTCAAGTATGGCTCGTACGGAGAGGTGGTGGTCGAGGATGGCGCTATTTACCTCCAGTGCAAGCCCGATACGTTTGGCACGAACGTGGATTACGTCGCTGAGAAGCTGGTGGACCAGTTGTAAATAGACGAGCCGATGTGCGGGTATTGGTGGAGTGGGAGCTGAACGTTGATGACATCATTCAATGTACTTCAGCCGCAACGGGTCGGGTGCCACAGCGACTGCGCCACACTTTCCCATTTAGGCAGCAAAAGCAATGGTCAAAGAAAATGAAAATCAATGGCAATAAAATTCTAGAAGCACCGCCAAGGCCCCGCGGACTGAAAACTTCGCATGCGCAGATTTCATCCTCGACAAGACCGATCATCGACAAGCCGCCGCCCGCAGCAAAACGCCCAGCCCAACACAGGCATCCCCGCCAAAACCTCAGGGGCGGAGCCCATCAGCCATCAATCGTTGATTGGCTCTGTATCTGCGTCGTGTGGGTGAGACGGGCACGCCCCGAAACGCTGGTCCAGCTGCCCGCTACCGGCGACGCAGCCTTGCTGACGCCCTGGACAGGCGTGTTCGGCCGATCGCCCTAGACAGAGGACGGGCGGCACGGGATACCTGCATAGCCGTCGTTTGTCGGGTCTGCCATAGTTGGGGGGTTCAGCTCGCTTAACAGGGCCGGCCTTCGCAGCCTCTGTCGGCGTGTGCAAGTTGCCAGTTTGGTGCTGCGATAAAAAGATACCAAACAACAGCAGGCCGGCTTTGAATGCACTTGACGCTACAAATTCGCTGTCGTGCTAACAGGGGTGGATCAAATATAGGCGGCCGCCCGTAGGGAGCGAGGAGACGGCTGCAGAGGTGCATCCTAGGGTGCCACTGCTGTTGTCAGCCGAGACAGAAAGGGGCAGGGGTGGAAGGAGAGAAGCGGGAGGAGAAAGGACAAAAGGAAGAAGAAAAGAAAAGAAAACGAAAAGAAAAATGCCTGCCATGATGGACGACCCCTACACCCCTACTATATACCGGGTGTCGGGGGAGCCCCCCTTTCCGGACCCCCAGAACCCCTCGCTGCCGCCAACCATAGTCCCGCGGCAGGTCACGCTCCGGGACCGGCAGACGGTGGCCACCATCGTGCCGTTCGCGTCGCAGCTCCAGGTGCCCCTGACGCTGCTGCAGTACCTGAGCGACCAGTTCAAGAAGGAGGTCGAGGGCGGCGACACGTATCCCATGATCGAGCCCATGCCCTTCGACCGCTTCGCGTCGTACTGGTTCCAGAACTTTGGCGGCGTCATGCTGCTAGGCAGCATCGGCAGCGCCGACGAGGTGGTCGAGGGCAAGGACTGGGCGCGCGAGTGCCTCGGCAGCTTCTACATCAAGCCCAACTACCCGGGCCGCTCCAGCCACGTGTGCAACGCCGGCTTCCTCGTCACCGACGCGTCGCGCAACCGCGGCGTCGGCCGCCTCATGGGCGAGACGTACCTCGAGTGGGCCCCCAAGCTCGGCTACACCTACTCCGTCTTCAACCTCGTGTACGAGACCAACGTGGCCTCGTGCAAGATCTGGGACGGGCTCGGGTTCAAGCGCATCGGCCGCGTCAAGGGCTGCGGCAACCTCAAGAGCTACCCGGGCCAGCTCATCGACGCCATCATGTACGGCCGCGACCTGGTCGCCTCGGACGCCGACGACTTCGTGAGTGAAGAGCGTTTCGACAAGATCAAGTTCTACCTCAAGTTCGGCAAGTACCCCAGCGGGGCTGACCGCGCCGAGAAAAGCAGGCTCCGGAGCGCCGCCACCCACTATAAGCTGCTCGACGACGACCGCCTCATGCTCAAGGGCAAGGAGGTCATCTCGGACCCCCGCCGCCAGTACGACATCTCGCGCCAGGTCCACATGCTGCAGCACGGCGGCATCAACCGCACCACCGCCACCATCGCCGAGAAGTACCACTGGAGCCGCATCAAGGAGACCGTGTCCGACGTCATCAGGAACTGCACCGAATGCAAGGAGCTGGGCAAGACGCCTTCTGCAGCATCCGCCACGGCAGCAGGGGCTTCGGCTGCTGCTGTTATCATAGCCGCAGCCTTGTCCGGGAGCGTGTCTGCAAGTCACATACGTAATGGTGGCACTCAGCCTGCTTCGGGGACTTCCAAGGCTCATCCCATGGCCTCTGTCGGCACCACCGCCGCCACTGCCGCTATGAACGGCACCTCAATCGGTCTCGGTCCGCAGAAGACATCCATGTCGATGATGTCGGGGAAGGCAGGGGCTGCCAAGAATTTCCTCGCCACGGCTCTCAACGAACCCTCGTCCCGGGCAACATCCCATCTCCCTCTGGGCAGCACACGCGCGCGGCAGCAGCAGCAGCAGCAGCAGCAGCCATCCGACTCTATACATCACCGCCGCCCACCCGCAGACTCTGGCGGCGGGCCACCCGAATCTTCGTCGCACGCGACACACCCCCAGCACGCAATGTCGTCCTTCACCATACCATCCTCAACCATGGCCTTCGCCGACCCGTCCGCCATGACCGTCATGTCGCCGGCCGAGATGCTGCACGCGTCGCGCGGCCTGCGCATGTCGCGGCAGCCCGCCGCCATCCCCGGGGGCCACAACCCGATGCTGCAGGACCAGCCGCACAGCAGCGGCCTCCACCCGCACCACCACCACCACCACCACCACCACCCCCACCACGCCTCCGTGGCCGACTACGACCAGCCCATCGACCCGCAGATCATCAGCCAGCCGTCGTCGCACCACCACCTCGCCCACCACCCGCACGACCCGGACCCGAACTCGGACCCGTTCAGCCCCTTTGACGGCAGCCACCACCACCACCACCACCACCCCGATCCGGATCCGTTCCAGGCACTGCTCAGCCACGCCGCCGTCGCCGCCGCCGCAGAGGAGCACCACCATCATCACCACCATCACCTCGACCATATGAGCCACCATCACCACCACCACCACCACGACTCGGACGGCGCCCACGGCACCCCTCAGAGCCCCGGGTCCTCGCCGCCCGACGACGGCGGCGACGACAAGATGGAGGACCGCGAGGCCGTCGACCGCGACATGGACATGCTGATCGAGCAGCAGGACGACGACGAAGACGGCGGCGGCGGCGGTCACGAAAACGCCGGCGCGGACGGGGTCGCGGTGGGGGCGGCCGCACGCGATGCCGGCATGGAACTCGACGCGGCGGCGGCGGCGGCCACCGGTCCCGAGGCGTCCAGACTGGCATGCGCGCCCGGCGCGGTCCGATAGCGCGGGCGGGCAAGGGAGGGGGAGGGGGGAGTGAATGGCCGGAAGGGAAAGGTGGCGTTTAGCGGATACCATATGGGGACTACCTAGGTATCTACGTTGGGCTAGCGGTCCGCCTGGGTTTTCCCAGAGTAATGTTTGCTTTCAGATCTCTTCATATCATATCATACCATATATAGACCGACATGCCGTCACCGCCGTTTTTTGTTGGCTTGGAAATATGGCTGACAGAATCATAAAGTCGTTTGAGGACAGCGAGTGCATCCCCTGAAATACCATCGTGATGGTCATGGTTGTTCGGAACTCCGCAGGAGCTAGAATACACCCAGATCTATACCATGTGCGCCAGTCCTTTTCTCTTTCTTTTTCTTCCTCAACTACCACGTATGTGTTTGGTATCACACAGTCCATTCTCGCTGTCTACACTTTGAGACTGAGCAGAGATAGTCGACATATGGACCTCTTGATTATCCGCCATTTATCGCCTTGGCATTCCCCTTCCCCTTCCCCTCAATGCCCTCTGGGCCGCTCCCGGGGGCAGCCCCTGGCCGGGAGCCTGGGGCGCCGCGCTCTCCTCATTGCGGATTGTCTCGTCGACCCCGAGTATAAGACAGCAGGCCTCGGTGGCGGCCTGGATCGCGTTGATCTTGACAAGGGCTGGCTCCCAGACGAAGCGCTCCATGAGGTCGGCGACGCCCTCGTTGGTGAAATCAACTCCAGCCCAAGTGTGTCCCTTGCGGTGCTCGACGCGGAGCTTGTTTAGAATGTCGGTGGCATCGAAGCCAGCATTGTCGCACAGCTGGCGTGGGATGACCTCGAGAGCCTTGGCGAACGACTTGATAACGGCCTGCTGCTTGTGCGCCTGGTTCTTGAGGTCGGCGAACTGATGCAGGTGAGCCGACACCTCCATCTCGACTGCGCCGCCGCCGGCAACGATGGTCCGGTTGCGAATGGCGCGTTTGACGATCATGATGGCATCGTGCAGCGAGCGCTCGACCTCGGCGATAAACTGCTCGGCGCCGCCGCGCAGCACGAGCGTGCACGTCTTGGCCTCGGGGCAGTCCTCGAAGAAGTTGAAGCGCTCGCCACCCATCTGGCGCTCCTCGAAGGTGCCGCAGGTGCCCAGATGCTCGGGTCGTATGTCGGAGCACGTCGACTGCACCGTCGAGCCCGTCGCCTGGACGACACGTTCCATATCCTCACTCGCCACACGACCGGCGCAGAAGATGTCGCGGTCGGCAAAGTACTGCGTCGCCAGGTCGCCAATGGGGAGCTTGCTCAGCACCACCTTGGCGCCCGTCTGGTGGACTGCCTCGAGCTTCTTGAAGATAATCTGCCACTCGGCATCCACGATGGCCTGGTACTCGGCGACCTGCTCCACCCGCACCTCGGCGTTGTCCTTCTCGGCCTTGAGCTCCAGCTCCACGTTTAGGCACACAATCTTGGGCTTCTTGAACGACTTGGGCTGCTGCTCGAAGCCAGCGTACGAGAAGGTCTTCTTGAATGCTACGCCGTTGACAAAAAGCGACTCGGTGAGCGAGCCACCCGGGATCTTCTTGATACCTATTAACTTTTCGTTGAGATCGTCTTGGTCGAGAGATAGCACCGAGTCGACAACCACTAGATAGTTGAGAGATGCGATGTCAGTTCCCATACATCCGAGCAGTCTCAAACTGTGCGCTGTATACCATCAGGAAAACATACTCTTAGTGAAGAACTCGGTATTCCGCTTGATCAGTTTGCTTGTCATGGCCGTGGCTGCAAGCTTGACCAGCGTTTCCCTGTGGCTCCCCTCGTCGGTGCTGATGGCGATCTCCTTGATCTTGTTGACGGCGACGGAGCAGGCGCGCCGCAGGCCCTTGATGATGATCTGGGAGCTTACACCATTCTCGACATGCTCCTTGACCTCCTTCAGGATCTCGCCCGCCAGAACCACTACTGATGTCGTGCCATCGCCAACCTCGGCGTCTTGTGACCTCGCAATGTCTACCAGGATCCGCGCCGCGGGGTGGACAATGTCCAAAAGCTGTTGGGGAGAGGCAGCAGCCGTGTCAGCGCCTGAACTACGACTGCGGATAAAAGACAGCGGGGATGCAAGGCAAAGCAGCCATCTCCGCTGCAGCCCCATACCTTCATCACCGTCGCTCCATCGTTCGTGATCGTCTGCTTGCCGTTCGCGTCCACCATCAACAGGTCGCCGCCATAAGGACCGAGGGTTGACTTGATGGTTGCCTGAACAGCCAAGCAAGCATTGATGTTGGAGATGATCTGTCCCTTGCCCTGAGAGGTGTCGGTTCCTGTTCGCAGAGAGGGGTAGCTCGGGTCAGCTCTGGCTCTCGACGCGGGAGGTTCGCGATGGTGGCAGGGGCAGCGCGGGGAAACGGACCCTCTTTTAGGACGATGATGGTGGGCGTTTGACCACCGAAAGACATGTTTGCAAAGCACCGAAAGGGACGACTCTGGAGCTGCTTCGGTGACGGATGGCTCTGGGATATCTCGTGTGGCTCGGCTCGGGTTTTTTGTCAGGGTTGGAGCAGTCACAGCATCTGATGCGGAGCTCGTGTCGTCGCCGCTTTCTCGAAGCTCCTTGGAAAAAAATCCATGTCACCGCCGCCGTTGTCCTGCCTGGAGCTTCGACGTGGGGTTACAGGTGCACGGTCCAGGTAGCGATAAGGAGAATGATAGATGACGCGGCAAGGTTAGGCGGAGGTCACGTGTTGGTGTATTGCTTTGACATTCCATTGATAGGAAATTTCTATGGATGACGCCCTGACACCCACCCCGTGCCGTTCCTCCAAACCGTCGCGACAGTTGATGGACAAATGTGACCAAGCCATTCGATTCTTTGACCGACAACGAGCATACCTCTACAGGCAGTGATCAGATTGTGGGTCTTCATTCAACCTTGGATCACAAGAACAAGACAGTGGCAGCCAGACCCATCAGCACAGGCAGGCCTCTCATGACAGCTACTGGCGCCGCTGCGGATCCCGCAGGCGCCTGTTTGTGTTTTATATCGTCAGTTTAAGTCTCCATAAACAATATGCAGGCATGGTTTGCGACCTACCGACGGAGAGGTGGACGCCCCGGTCTTGGATGTAGGAGGGCTCGTGATGGCGGCAGATCCTGAGCCACCGGTCGCACCAGTTCCCAACACCGCCGTTGAGTTGGCCCCGCTCCCAACCGCCGTGCTGGCCCCGGGGCCTGCCGTGGTGCCGGTTTCGGAGCTGGCTGCTGCGCCGGTTCCAGAGCCGCTCGTCGCCACGCTGCTGCTCGTGGGTGTCGCCAGTGTTGGCCGCACCGAGGACGAGGCCGGGGCCGGGGTCGAAGTCTTCAATGGGTTCGATTCAAGGAACGACGGGGTGACGGTCTCGGGGCCTTGGTAGAGAGGGCAGCCCGGCTTGCTCTTTGGAGGAGCGCGGCCGCCGCCGCAGTCCATCAGGCTGCAGATCTCCAGGGTATCAGGAACGAACCAGACGACGGAAGCCACGTTGCCGACCATTGTGGTGTACTTGGTGCATCCCGCCAAATCCGTTTTCCCTTCCACCAGGCCACCCAAAATAGCAAGGGCGCCAACGAGGACGGTCGACTGGGCTGGGAAGTGCATGTTGTAGCGTTGGATGGGACTCGTTGCCTGCTTCCTATTTGGGTTTCCGGGAGAGAGGTTCCTTGCTAGCAAACGACTTGTGCCACTTGAAGCTTGGTTGAACGAACGACTGGTGGATGGAGCACGCAGAAGACACACGAGTAAAGACACGGCGGTGATCAGGGTGTCTTGTGCGCACTGCCATCGCACCAACAAGTCCAATTTCCGGCGCGCCCTCATCTCCTACCGCCTTCCTCCTCCCTCAACCGCTACAGGGGTCGGACTCCGGATCGCCCTCCCCTGGAGCAAGGCCACCAAGCTTAAAATTAGTGACTCCCGGTTACCGGCTAGAGGCGCAAGGCCCCTGAAACACACTGATCACTCGGTGGCTGCGTCTTGACCATTTGTGACTCCCTCTCGCCGAGCTAGCTAAATCTCGATGCACGGAGGTCGCCTAATAATTACGGCTGCCGATCTTCACGAGAACGGCGGATGGATCCTTCAACACTGGTGGAGACTCGCCTACCTTCATTCACACAAAGCCCAGCCGCTGTTTATGACAACAAGCTAGGCAGGCGCCTGCTATGAGACCATTCTACGGTGAAACTGGCCGAGGACGGGCGACACGTGTTTCTCTTCCTGGGAATGTCGTGTTTTCGACTTGCATCTTAGCAAACGGCATTCCCCCTAAAATCTTCCCGGTAATACCGGACGGAAGCAAGCAAGTGCCAAACTGTGGCTTGAACTGACTGTTGGGTGTTTCCTAATTTAATATTTTAGCTGCTGTTGATCGAAACCAAAACTGGAAGTGTTGCGTCCCATCAAGCAGTGTATTATTCAATCGGCGCGATATAAACCCTCGCACAAAAGTTGGGGAGTATAAGTCATCCTTTAGCCTCAGTAGTTGTGCAAGGCCATAAGCACCTGCCCGTCTCGTCGCTCTAACCTGAAAATGTCAACCTCTCTGCTATCGGAGAGATCCGACATGCGTGCGTCGTATTGAGAAACCCATGCTGTAGACAGACAGGCGAACGCTACGATATTTGCGTACGAGCTGAGGTCTCAAGTCGCAGAAATAGGTCAATACAAATGAGGTATGAATGGGACGTAGTAAAACGCAGTGGTGCCCACCGCAACCCAATAGGATCCATTCTTCAATGGAAGGTATTGAGAATGGCATACTAGGTCACATCCTCAAAAGGAACTCGGAAGTCCTGGCATGCGATAAACCCAAAGCAAGCAAGCTCCATCGGGGTCAAACGCCCATTCCTCAAGACTTACGTCCATTGTGCCTCGTTCGACCTCATCCACACCACCATCGAGATCTGTAAGAGCCTAGAGTCATCGTTTGTCAAACCCGTGCCAGATTCCGTTGGGATAATCGGCTACTGGTGGTGAGCTGCTATCCGACTGTCGACAAAGCCGAAGGCATGGTAAGGCTCTGCGAATGCACCAGGGACTCGGAGGCCCAGCAACACGGGGCGAGTCGACTATCGTCGCCGGACATGGCCTCATGGCTGTTAAGTGATGTCACGTTTACTGGGGCTGAATAGAACCACATTTGTGCCGAGGGGCTGCATGACGCACAAGTGTCTTAGATGTCATCACCAGAGTGTTTTGTATCTTCTTTTGTGATAGCAGCTGACCGCAGCTCGTGCTACCCTACACTATGGTCAGACATATTCAGCTTTTGTTTTCCGTGCCCCTTTTCGGATCCCAAACTTGACCTGCGTCAACCACCGACTCCTACAGTGTGTTTTTAGCCCCGCCAAATTTTTTAGAAAAAAAGAGAGAAAAAAGAAGGAGAAAAAAGAAGGAGAAAAAAGAAGAAAAAAAAGAAGAAAAAAAGAAGAAAAAAGAAGAAGAAAAAGCGGTGGTAAAAGTGAGGCCGGCAAAGGAACCACCCAAGAGAAGGCAACCCCGAGCTTTGTGACATCCGCGCACGCATGGTGCCGTGGTGGGCTCGAGGGAAAGCCAATAGAAAACGACAAGAAAAAGCTTCAGACACAGGTTTCCCCAAGAAACGGGCGAGCGGCAGTGATAAAGAAAATTCCATAGCAAAAGAACAACACTCAGCCGGAGCTAGGCAGCGTCCCGGCGGCGCAGAAGAGCTGGATGCAGGCGCCGTCGACCGGGGCGCAGATGCCGCAGCTGGAGTTGCAGCAGTACTGGCCCTTGCCGCACTTGTTCTTGCCGCACGTTACGGGACTCTCGCCGCCACCGCCGCCGCCGCCGCCGCCGCCGGGGAAGGGCAGCGGCGCCAGGGTGGTCTGGAAGGTCGGGACGGTGGTGACGGTCTCGGTAGCGGCCGCCGGGGTGGTGATAAACGGCCTCGGGGGCAGGCCCGGCGAGTAGCTCGACCTCAGGTGGCCGCAGTCTTGCTGGGTGCAGACGACGCCGGGTTTGGTGCACATGCTGCACAACGGGTTGCAGCACTTGTAGCCGGCCGCGCAGACGGTAAGCCCGCACTGCTGTCTCTTCTCGAGCCCCTGCCGCGCCACCTGCCGGACGACGCCGCCGGCGAGCGGCGAGGCGAGAGTGGCGGTGGCGGCCAGGGAGGCCGCGAGGAGGAGGCGCTTGAGGAGAGACATGGCGGCCTTGGGAATGTAGGTAGGTAGTTGGGTGTGGGTGCTAGTGATGAGTCGGTCTACGTTGACTCTGAAGACCTCGCTGACTAGCTGGCTTGGTTGGAAACTCAAAGGTTCAGGACACCCTGAGAGTGTTGAGCTTGTCGTGTATAAGAGAATTTCGCGTTTTGTTGTGGTGACGCGGCGTAGAGGAGCGAGGTTCCCGAAACCTGGAGTGGGCAGTAAGAAGGTTTGCAGGTTGGGGGTGAGATCGAGGGTCAAGGCATGGAGATATGGGCACCGGCTTGCTCATAATATACAAGAGCAGCAAGCACGAGGCGCGTCCCAGATGGCAACATGCCCGCGGCGTCGGGCACACAAGCAAGCCCACGTCGCTTGCCTCTCCGTCACTCTTTCTTTAGCGGAGGGGAACCCGACTGACGCCTTGCCATGGCTGTTGCTCAAAAGAGCAAGGCAAGGGATGCGGCCTACCGTGACTGCTCAAAAGGGCAAAAAAAGCGATCGAGACATTTGCTGCTCCCAAATGCCAAGGAGGGTAATTGGCGGGGGGTTGCGCGGTGCGTTGGGTGTTTCTGTCATTGGTTAGGGAGGACACCCCGGAGCCGAGATGGACACCGCCAGGCTTACACCAAAGGAAACCGACCGTGGCGCGTTGCGAGGAGGAGGAAGAGGAGGGGCAAGCGTCACTTTTCCTGGGCACACCGAATATGCCTTCCGAGACAAAGACCTGGCAGACGTCAGGAGGGGGCGGTGGCGGCGAGAGTAGGTACGCGATGTGTTTTTTGTTTGTTAAAAATAGACTCGATCCGCACCGGAATGCCGCCCCGACAGCCTGGGTAGCCGTCGAACCTGCATATCAAATATGAGGTCTGCAGGAGAACTGCGGAGGAGCTTCGGCCTGATGCTGTACCTGGGTAGCGGCGGCTTATTTAGATTTGCCAAGCGTCCGTGATGTTCCCTGCCGATGCCTGTGCCTGGAGCGGGCGGAAAACAGGCTCGAACTCAATCAATCCTCCCAAGGTCCTTCCATGATAGGGTAGAGGCATCAAGATTTCTGGGTCAGAGGGGTGTCATAATGTCGCATCTTGGTTGCGAGCAATTTGGAGAAACGGCGATGAGGTCTTCGCCATTGGTTTTCGTTAGCTACCCGGATTTTCAGCTAGCTCGGCCATCGTCGCACATGTAGCCTCTTTGAGGAAAAGGAAGGAAGCCTAGGCCAGCCAAAGAACAGGCTCTTCTTCCGTCCTCTTCTTTACCCGAACCCTTGGGATATAGCCTATATTTCGGCCAAGTGCTTGAAGCTCCCACTAGAATCAAGTATTCGGGTTTTCGTTGGATACGCTCATGCTGGGACATTTGGTCCCTTCATGTCCGGACCTGGTCTCTAAGACCCGCCGACGGGTTTGCCAATGCGGGGGGTTGACGATCGTGGCAAGTTCCGCATAAACTAACAGTAGGCTGTGTTGCGTCGTCGAGAAAAAAAAGAGGGGAGGCAACCTGACGGAGGCATTGGCCCACGATGCCTGATCAAGAGACCCACCAAGGTGCCGACACCGACAGGGGCTATATAAATGCCTTCCATTTCTATACGAGCTTTTATGAAAGTACCTTTTGACACACGGGAAATACATGGTCAGCTGATCGGTGGCGCGTATCAGAGGGAGCGGACATGACAAAGCGACAACGGTGGTATACACATAGACCAGCAAGAATGAGATGCGCTACACCGCCGGCCGTCTATAATATCAGCCGCTTGATCTCCTCGGCGGCGAGCAGCTCGGCCTCGACCTGCTGATCGCTGGCAACCTCCTCCTTCGCCGCATCTTCGGCCGCAGCAGCCTCCTTTCTCAAGAATTTCGCGACGTCGGTCGGGTTCTCCCACGCGACGATGCCGGTCGCGGCGGCCTCTAGCCTGCGCTTCTGGCCCTGCTCTGCGGCCCTGCCGAGGACACCGCAAATGACGGCTATGCTCCGCAGACTTTGTCAAGCAGGGGTAGGACGTGTAAGCATCACGTGTATTCACGGCGAGCCATAGAAGAAAAAAAAGGAAAGCACCAAAGTCTCACCTGTCATCGTTGGCCGGAATGGGGTACGTGACCTTGGTGGGGTCCGCATCCGTGTCGATGACGCCGATGGTCGGGATCTGGGCCGTGACGCACTCGTGCAGGAGCGTGTAGTTGTCGTGCGGGTTCATGCAGACGACCAGGTCCGGGGCCAGCGGGCGGCGGTCGCGCAGGTGCTCCTCGAAGCCGTCGAGCGGCTTGTCGAGCTCGTTGACGATCTTGATGCCGGCGCCCTCGAGGATCACGTCGCGGTTCGTGATGGCGCCGGGCACCCACTTGGTGAAGAGGTGGCAGCCGCCGCCGAGCTCGGCGGCGCGCACCACGATGTCGAGGTGGCCCGCGCGCGTGCCGGCGAAGAGGATGAGGCCGCCGTGGTAGGCCACCTCCTCAACGACGCGCGCCGCGCGCCGCAGGTGCGCCGCCGTCTGCTCGAGGCTGATGACGTGTATGTCCTGGCGCACGCCGTAGATGTAGCGCGCGTTGGCCGGGTTCCACAGGCTCTTGTGGTGGCCCATGTGGCACTGCGACGCCATGAGCAGCTCAAGCGTCACGTCCTTGGGCCGCGGGGGGTCCTTGAGGAGGTCGCCCGGCACGTACTTGCGCGTCACCAGGGACCCGACGTTCTCCATCTTGCGCTTCCACCTCTGCGTCGCGTCGTAGTCGAACGCCGTCCGGTCCGGCTCCCGCTTGGACTTGGCCTTGCCGAACCGAGCCTGCAGCTTCGGGTCGCGCACGCGGGGGACCGCTGCCGGGGCTGTGGATGGCTTGGGTGTGGGGGCGGCATTGTTGAGCGGCGGCGGAGGTGGTGCCGAGGGGGGAAACGAAGTGGACGAGGTTGATAAGCCGCAAAGGCATTGCCTTGATGCTGCGGCGACCGCGGCCCGGCCTGGTAGACGAGATGGGTAGTTAGTGACGGGCGGCTAGCGTAGCACATTTTGGGGGGATATGTTCTTACCGTGGCGAATAGCTACATTTCTCACTATCATGTTGATTTGCTGCCTCGGTGGCCTTCAGTGGCAGCTCTTACGACGTCCTGCTCCAACGAATATCCCCAAACTTTTTTTGGGGAGGAATTGCATATGGCCCGTGCATCTGGAGGGGCTGGCGCAAGAGCGGGCCACATCTCGGGTTAGGGTTCAGATGCTCACCCCTCCGCTACCTTTGGCCAGGCCCAGATGATACCGGGACGAAACTAATAACGAGTGTGAGGAGCAGTTTGACATATTAAATAATACCGCGGTCATCTATCTCAGACAGGTACGCAATACAAATCTATAGCACGCGTAACGTCAGGTCCTCAAGGACATCTCCCCCATTCTCCCACTCTCCATTCCAGATGGGTATGATGAGCCAGAGCGACCTCCTATCATGATGGGATCGAGAACAGTTCTCCACAAAAAAAAAGACGGGTGGCGCATGCAACAAGATGAAAACAGTGCTCGCAACAGACACGCCTTGTCCATTTTCTTTGACCATACCAACCCCAAGATGACCTTGCTCCCATATATTGCTGATAGCATAGGAAACAGGAGGAGAGGAGATTCCAAGTCACGCACTACCTGCTCGATGACAGCCTAGACACGGTGAAGACGGCGATAATAACGACGGTCAGTGTCATGACGGCACCAGGGAGCAGCAGCTCGTTAGGCACTCCGGCGATCAGCGGCTCCGGCTGTGCTACAGACGAGCTGCGGTGGTGTGCCCTCCGATGCCTCCTAACGGCCGATGCGCTCTCCTCAGACTCGTCCTCGCTATCGTCCGACTCCTCATCCTCGCTGGCCACGACGCGCTGCTTCCTGCGCTCCCGCAATACACTCGAAGCCGGCGGCGTCGGCCCTGGACGCCCAGACGAGGACGTCGGCACGGGCACGGGCGCGGGCGCGGCTACCCCGACAGGTGGCTGATCAGGATGATGCACGAACAAGTCGACTTTGTCACGGCCAGACTGGCGCGCCAGCAAGATGGCTTCCAGCAGGTCCTGATCAGCCGTGATGCTGACCGAGTCGCCGTCGTTGTCCAGGTAGGACATGGCGAATCCAGCGCCGATCTGGCCGTCTTCATCCACCTCGGGGGCACCGCCCACGGCCTCGAGCTCGCCACCCAGCTTGGACGTTACGTTGGTTATAAAGGTGGACACTCCGTGCGCCGCAACCACCTGCAGCCTGTGCACGCGGCCGCTGGGGGCCTTGAACTTGAAAGGGAACGGGATCTCGCTGGGCGAGAGGTCAGGGGTGCCGCCCACAATCGAGCCCTCGTCAAATCCTGCGTGCGACGCCGAATCTCCTGGCGCGACGCTATCAAGGCGGTCTCCGCGCGTCATGTCAGGCGATATGACGGAGCGCGGCGGCATGTGCGAGGGGTGATGCGACCCTTCTCCCGACATGACCGACTCGGTCTCGTTGTCTAGGGAGAGCCAGAACTTGTTCCATGCAGGGCCCTCGCTGTCACCGCTCGACATGGTGTTGATCTGCTCAAGCGTGGCATACGTGAGCTTGAGCACGTCCACCATGCCGACAATCTCGCCCGCGTCGTTCATGACGGGCAGGTTGAGGTAATGGCCATCTATGGTTGCATTTTGTCACGCCGTTAGCGGTGGAACTGGCAGGATATCGACAACAACTGCAATAATGCTCGCTCACCGTGCATCTTCCGCAGCGCGGCCTGGATGCTCATGTCCATGGGGGCAAAATCTGGGTGAGGGGTCATGACCCTGACAACGCTGCAGTTCCCGGGGTCAAGCCCGGGGGCGATGACGCGCAGAACAACGTCCTTGCTCGTAAAGATGCCCGTGATCTGGCCCTGGTCCTGGACAAGGACGGCAGTGGTGTGATTTTCCCTCATTATCTGGGCAGCCTCTCTAACCGACGTCTTTACACCAACGGTGGTGGGAGGTTTGCCGTTGAGCACCGACTCGAGGGTGGGGCCCGACATCTTGCTGCGCAGGGCCTCGACGTACTGGATAATCTGCTGCGGCTGGCTCGAGCCCAGCTCGGACTGGACGCCCTCGAGCGCGTCGTAGAGCTTGCGCGAGGACGAGTAGGCGCGCTCGAGCTTCTCCATGGCGTCGTAGAAGCACTTTGTAATATCGAGAATACCCGAGATGTCCTGGTTTTCGTCCATGACAGGCAGGTGGCGGAAGCCCTTGCGCACCATGAGATCCAGGGCGTCGGTTGCGCTAGTGTCGGTGCGGGCGCAAAGCGGGTTCTTGGTCATGATCTCAGCGATGGTGACGTTTGTGGCCTTGAGGCCCGCACCGACGACGCGGAAGGCCAGATCCTTTGCGGTGAAGATGCCGGCGATGCGGTCATCGTCGTCTGTGACCAGCACACAGTCTTCGCGCTTGGCGGCCATCAACTGGGCGGCCTCGGCCACGGTGGTGGCGGGCTTGATCTGGAGAGCCTGGCTCGGCTTGAGGGCCAGGACGGTGCCGGGCGGGGCCTTGCGCGAGCTCCGGGCGCGGCCGGGGATGTGGACCTTCTTCTTCTGGAGGTCATTCTCCATCTTGCGGCGGATGGCCTGGGCATGGAAGTCAGTGGGCATTCCTCTCGTGACGAGTTCCATCTTGACCGCTTTCTTCTTGTCGGGCATGTATGGTCACTCCAGTTCTCGGGGGAAGAACAAGAGTGTCCTCGGCCCAAGGCGGGAGGTGTTGGTCGGCAGCCATACAAGGGGGCGGAGGACAACCCCTCACCAGGGCAGACGCATGGCTCCTGACAGGGACATGCGGGGAAGGTAACCAAGTCTTTGGCATAAAGGGGCTCTGCACGTACCTCATCCCGCTTACTCTGTTTCTGTCTGCTTGCACTCATGGTGGAACCTCCGACTTCACTTGCTGGCGGCGGGTGCGGGCTATGCGGAGGGTGGCTGTTGACGTTCTGGTCGTGGACGGGGCGGGGGATGGCGGAGGAGGAGCCGGACGGGCTGTTGCCAAAGCTCGGGATGGCTCCACGTCCTGAGGCGCGGCTGGGAGTGCCTCGGAGGGTGTTGCCTGGGTGGTTTGACATTGCATAGACTGCGCCGGCAGCCTGCAATCAATCAGAATCAGGTGGATATCCTGGTCGAGACTAGCTGGAAGGGAGGAGGGGGTTGGTCAGGGCAAAAAAGGAGGGAGAAAAAAAAAGGTGCCGAAAGCAGAGGTTCCCTCCGTTATCGGGTGGGTGGGCGTAGCGATAGGGTGCAGGTGCGTTGGCCAAAAGCGGAGAGGCCTGGGGTGGTCGAGCGGTGTGCACGTCGAAGACGACGCAGGCTGCAGCTGTGCCGTGCGTGCTGTCTCGAACCGATTATCGAGGCTCGACGCGAGCGGGATCGAGGACAATTCGACCGCCAAAGTCCCGGCGCCCCTAGAAAACGACGGACAATCAATTGACCATGCGACGGGCTGGCCACGATTGAGGGAAAAGCCGGAATCAGATGACAGCCTCAGGCCCGAGTGGTGGGCCTTGGCTGCACTGTCGACTCGGCGATGCACGGGCCATGTCGAATTAATTCAATTCCATCGAGTCCTGCACGCACTTTAGGAAGCTCCAAGCCAAGGCACTATGAAAGTTCACAATCGGGCATTTGACTACCACGGCGATTTGACGCCCCAGCCGAGCCGACAGGAGCCTCAATATCACTCATGTGTCTGCACATGGGCAGGCAGACCACAGCATCCCACTATCTCTTGCGCACCTTCTTCTCACATCAGCCAAAACACTCCACTATCGGACCACCCGATCAGCCCTGTGCAAATCAAAAGAACCATAACAAGGTCGCTTTACCAGGAATATCCCCCTCGGTGGCTGTAAGAGGTTGGGTGCCTTGCAGAGTATAAGACGTTTGTGTTCATGTTCCTAGTCTCCCTTTCCTCCATTCACGCTGCCAGCTGACACCAAGCCATATGTCTGACTATTCGACTGCTACACTATGCCCATTGTGATAAGCCCGCGCCGCTCAATACCACGGACCATACATCGAAAACCTCAACTTCCAAGTCGGTAAATACGTTGTCATGTGATGGTAGAAGGATGCCTCGCCGTTTGGATCAATAAACTGTCCCTTCTGTGGTGCGGCCCGAGACCCCAGGATTACTCAGGCTGGATAATAATATCTAGCTCCTCCCCCATTATTTGTGTTACTTCAAATTCGATAGATGGATGGTTCGGGCACCCTCGTCGCTGGAATGGCGATCTGCAGAAAATCCACACAGGAGGAACAGAGCTGACATGGAAATTGTGAAGGAGTCGGCCTGTCTGATGGCGATGGCGAAATTATCTCAACTAGATCTCTTGGTCCAACGTCAGCCTCGTACCAGTGATATCGCCGTCTACAGGTGCCTAGGAAGTACTGCGCCCCGATCATCCGCTGTCACAGCTTCAATGTTTCGGTCTCGCCGACATATATTGCCCATGAAAACGATTCAACGTGAGGCGGCAACCCAGTCAAGCTTCCTATTGTCGCCATGACCGGTGCAAGATGTCACCGCGCCGGGCACACGATATTTCTTAGGCATGCCACACACAGATTGTGGCATACTAGCAAAATCTGCCTCTGTTTGTGATCCGATGGCTTGCATCAAAATGCAGTTCCCGTCCGTCCCGGGCTGACAGCTGGGGTGTCATTGGACGGATCGGTGCGGCCACCACCTACTAGGTGCGATTATTGATACTCAACGTGACCAATAAGCCCAGCAATTTTTCCGAACACCCTCTCGGGCATATCCAACTGGAGCTAAGGGGGCGGCCTGTAGGATTCCTCCGTGACCTCATGAGAGCTGAGAGAGCTCAGCTCTCAGCTCGGTTGAGCATAAGCCCGAAGCCTTGACCGAGGCTGGAGGTGGGCGCAGTGAGACACCCTTGAGGGCCGTGTCCTTTAGTGGCTAGAAGGATAGTGAGTATTTAAAAGTCGAGGAAATGCTGCATCAGCACCATCATGATTTCCCTTTACCTCTAAGGCATTTGTGCAGTAGTTCGCTCGTTGTTTGCTTCTTAGCCCGGTAGACGCTCACGACCAAGGCTCCACCTTCGCTCGACGAAATGCGCTCCAGGATCCTTGCCATAGTCTTCGCGGCACGCCATGTGGCAGCGCTGCCACTCGCTGCCGAAGACGCTGCGGCGACGCTGTCTTTGACGTCCAGCGCCTCCAGCACCACCGTGCTCCCGTCTCCGACCCAGTACACGCTGCCCAACAACGACCCCAACCAGGGGGCACGCAACGCCAGTATAGCTCGGAAGCGGGAGTTGTTCCTCTACGGCCCATCCACTCTCGGGCAGACGACCTTCTACCCTACCGGAGAGCTGGGGAACAACATCTCGGCCCGCGACGTGCTACTTTGGCGCCAAGATGCGGCGAACCAGACGGCAACGGCGTACCGCGAAGCCAATGAGACGTTTGCAGATATTACCAGCGTATGTGCTGATCACATCTATGCGTGTAGTGGCCAGTCTGTTTAGGAGGCTGCCAGTTCTTTCTTTCGCACTTGGTATTGGTACCTACCTACCCACCTAACCTAGGTACTAACACGTCTCGTTGGGCTATAGCGTGGCGGTTTCAAAACGCTCGACGACTTTGCGCTCCTCTACAATGGTCACTGGAAGGAGTCGGTTCCGGAGGGCATATCGAAGGGCATGTTGAGCAACTACACCTCGGACCTTCTCTTTTCCATGGAGCGGCTGTCCTCCAACCCTTACGTCCTCAAGCGCCTCCACCCAGCCAAGGACAAACTGCCGTTCAGCGTCGAGAGCAAGGTGGTGAAGAAGCTGACGGCCACCACGCTTGAGGTGCTCCACAAGGGCGGCCGCCTGTTCCTCGTGGACCACAGCTACCAGAAGAAGTACACCCCCCAGCCAGGACGGTACGCCGCGGCCTGCCAGGGGCTTTTCTACCTGGACGCGCGGTCCAACCAATTCCTGCCTCTGGCAATCAAGACCAACGTGGGGGCGGACCTGACGTACACGCCCCTCGACGACAAGAACGACTGGCTGCTGGCCAAGATCATGTTCAACAACAACGACCTGTTCTACTCCCAGATGTACCACGTGCTCTTCCACACGATCCCCGAGATCGTGCACGAGGCCGCCTTCCGGACGCTGAGCGACAGGCACCCGGTCATGGGCGTGCTCAACCGCCTCATGTACCAGGCCTACGCCATCCGGCCCGTGGGCGGGGCTGTGCTCTTCAACCCCGGCGGGTTCTGGGACCAAAACTTTGGCCTGCCCGCCTCGGCCGCCATCGACTTCCCCGGCTCCGTGTACGCGCAGGGCGGGGGCGGGTTCCAGGCCGGCTACCTGGAGAAGGACCTGCGGAGCCGGGGGCTGGTCGGCGAGGACAGCGGCCCGCGGCTGCCGCACTTCCCCTTCTACGAGGACGCGCACCGCCTGATCGGGGCGATCCGGCGCTTCATGCAGGCGTTCGTGGACTCGACGTACGGTGCCGACGACGGCGACGACGGGGCGCTGCTGCGCGACTACGAGCTGCAGAACTGGATCGCCGAGGCCAACGGGCCGGCGCAGGTGCGCGACTTCCCCGCGGCGCCGCTGCGGCGGCGCGCACAGCTGGTGGACGTGCTGACGCACGTGGCCTGGGTCACGGGCGGGGCGCACCACGTCATGAACCAGGGCTCGCCCGTCAAGTTCTCGGGGGTGCTGCCGCTGCACCCGGCGGCGCTGTACGCGCCCATCCCGACGACCAAGGGCGCCACCGGCAACGGGACGAGGGCGGGCCTGCTGGCGTGGCTGCCCAACGAGCGGCAGGCCGTGGAGCAGGTCTCGCTGCTCGCGCGCTTCAACCGTGCGCAGGTCGGGGACAGGAAGCAGACGGTGCGCGACGCCTTCGCCGCGCCCGACCTGCTGGCCGGCAACGGGCCGGGGTACGCGGCGGCCAACGCGAGGTTCGTCGAGGACACGGGCCGTATAAGTCGCGAGATGGCGGGCAGAGGGTTCGACGGCAAGGGCCTCAGCCAGGGCATGCCGTTCGTCTGGACCGCGCTCAATCCCGCCGTCAACCCTTTTTTCCTAAGCGTCTAAAAGGCCTGGCCAAAGCTCAGCTAATTGTGGATTCGGTGTCAAGGCCTGTCGCCCTCGGCGACCTGAGACGGGAGATGGGGTTTATGAAGAGCGAGGATGGACATTGGAGGTATGGGTGGTAATTAACAGCATGTGGAGGGAGGGCTACACGAGCCAAACTCTGTAATGGATGGCCACCAGCTGCTAGTCAGCAGTTCCCACATTCCCCAGAATCACGGCTACCGAATCGAATGTTCACAGCACCCGACTTTCCATGCATATGTTCATGTCGCCGGCCTGGTTGCTTGCATGCATCCACGTGCGTGCCTGGCCATGCGAGCCATGCGAGCAGTAGCCCTGGCGACGCCAAGGGGGGACAAAGCAGGCAGTGATGGAGGATGGTAACAACCATAATGTACTTTAGTCTGGATGCAAGTCCGTGGCTAGGGAGGAAAAAGGACGTGTCTCGCCCGCAGGAGGTAGGGCGCGGACTTTTTGGCGAGGCTGATCCACCCCGAGCTTTTCCAAATGAAGTCATGACCTTGGCATAAAATGTCTCTCACAGTCGTCGATAGATGTCAAACAAAAGCCAAATGCACGGAAGTATTGGGCCGAGCCGTGGTAGCCCGATCTGCTTGGTTGTTTCTGGGCGCATCCTCGGGTCGGCATTCAATCTTGTGTTTTCCAGACTATCCTGATTCTTGACAGGACAGAAAAGGGAACCTCGGCGGGAGGATATTGGAGATTGATGCTTGACAACGACCACAAAACCAAACCAACGAACGGATGGCATGTGGTATCGATCCACGACGCGACAGCCCAGACACAAACTGATGGGTCATGGTTCGATGGGGGAGGTTGTCGCATCCAGCATTCATTGGGGTGTATGCTGCCGGATGAGGAAGCCACCTGCGCGTGTTGGCCATGGATGGCACAAGCGAACAAACACAAGGCGTATTTGGTGACAAGGCCGGGGAAGCTCAGGCGAGTTCGGCGCATGCACAGTTGACATCAAATTGATTGCTTGCATCGTAAAGTGGTCGCTGCCCCTGCAGCCAGACCCGCCTGTTGCCCAGGCCCAACCACAGGCTCAACTCGCAGCTTGCCTAAACGAGCCATTTCGCCAACGTCTGTGCTCTTCGGTTTCCCAGCGAGGTCCCGGCCGGCCAGGGATCAATCTGGGCCTGATGTTTCGACGACAGTAGGGGTGCAAGGGGGGGGGGGTGTGGGCCCTTGGGTGGACGGCCTGTTAGCGCGGGATGCGCCCACCACCGTCGCTCGCCACTGGTGCGCAGGAGGGGCAGGGGTCGTTGGCCGGCCTGCGTTCCTCTGGCAACCGCGTCAGACATCAACAAGGAAGGTGCGTCGCATCGCCGGCAGGGAGCCAACAGGCCAAAACTGCGAGCCGCCGCTGCTGCAGGTCGCATCTCAGGATTCCCACTTTCCTGTGCACCTCCATTTTTCTGCTCCCTTCCTCCCTCCAGGATCAAGCGTACGTTCTTTGGACCTCGTGCCAGAGAGGACAAGACCACCACCACCAATAACCCAAAGCACCTTCCCCGTATCGTCGAGCCAGACTAGGTAGCTCTGCTGGGCAGCTAGACTAGAAGGCATCCCCATCGCTCTCTGCCTCGCAGAAGAGGCAACTCCACACACCCTTTGGGTTGTCGCAAAGTCGTTGGCCACGACTGAGCACGACCTTAAGATCCCGTTTGCCCGGCCGCTTGGCTTGCGCTGCGTGAGGTAAGAGACATGGAGATTGGAGACAGGGAGACAAGGGAGGCAGGGATATATGAGGAGGAGAGAGAAGACATGTCGACGGGTAAAGCTCGCATATGCTGACATGGCTCTGTTGGCCTCGCACCCAGTCTCGGAACCCATTGAGCGAGGTTCGCTTCATTGCGACACTTTGACCGACAACGACAACCGCCCCTTCCGAACTCGACTTGCATTCTCAAAATGCTGTCTAATCCGCCACTATCAAATCTTCATCCGCGCCACAGGCAGCATCGACGACAGAACTCGACGCCCACGGCTTTCGAAGCGGTGAAGATCCCGAACCTGCCCAACATTCAGCGACGGCAGCCAGTGTCCCATCGGCGAGGCCTCAGCCTCGACACTCGGCAGCATCAGATCCGTCAGCTCCAGCAACACCAACAACGCCAGCAACAACACTCGACAACAATCGACAACAGGCAGGACTTCGCGACAACGACTACAACGGTAAGTAGCTCGACGACCACTAACCACCCAGGATTACCAACGACACCACAGCATCACGTATTGCGAGAAGCGCAGCAGCAACGCATAATAGCACGCCCAGGCCCTAGCCAGGCCTACGCCAACTTGGCGAGTGACGGGGCCTTCATGGTCTCGCCGCATCCCACTCCCCAGCACAACCAACAGCAGTTTGATGCCGCCCAATGCGGCCTGCAGACTGGCCCCCAGTTCGCGGGCAATGGCGCTGCCCATATCAGCCTCCTGATGAGGCGGAACCAGGCCGCCTTCAACGCCAACGCTCAAGGCGCCATGACCCTGAACACCGACTTTGACATATTCGAGCCCTCTCCTGACAGCGCGCTGTCCACACCCAGCTTCATCAACTACCAGGACAGCCCGGCCTTCTCGCAGCAGGGCTGGGCCTCCGAGGGAGACGCGTCTAGCTCGCGCAGGTCCTCGAGGAGGATCAGCAATGGCATCATGGACCGCGTGAACAAGTTTGAGACGCTGGGAAGTGTCGACGGAGGTTCGAGGCCAGCTACACCCCCAACACAGAACGTAACAGGTATGTCTTGCTCTCATCTCACATACAGACAGACCGTTAGTTCCATGACTGACCAGACTCCAGGTTACTTCCCCCCGACACCGATAGAGACCCCTTGCGAAAGAATGGTCAAGCACCAGCCCCGGCCCACTCGCTTCGCCGAGGGCTATGACGAGTCGATGGAGGACACAATCAAGCCGCGCAACCGTTCCAAGCGCGCCTCGGGTGTTTTCCAGGAGCTCAGGCAGCAGGCCGAGGCAATGGCAGCCAGCCAGCAGCGCGCCAACACCATGGCCATGCCCCTGCAGTCCCCGGACTTTATGAACTTGGGGAACATGAGCGATGAGTTTGTCAAGATCGAGACGGGCATAAACACCATGCATGGCTCCGCCAACGGCACCCCTGACCTGTCCCATCATTCGACCCCGGTGACCCCGTACGGGAGCTCTTTTGAGAACGGATTCCACGCGACCAACTTCGACTCGCAGGCCACTATGATGATGTTCCATCCCAACATCAACCTCGTGCCGGGCAATGCCAGTGCCTCGGAGTCGTGCAGGGAGTCTCCCCATCGCCGCACCGACTCTCTTGCCAGCATCGCCAGTGCCGCCAGCATCTCGAGCCTTAACATTGACGAGACCAAGACGGAGACGGGCGTGACGCTCGACGACATCTCAGCCCACATCGAAGGCCCCGATCCCACGGACGGCAAGTGGACCTGCGTCTTCGAGGACTGTGGAAAGAAGTTCGGCCGCAAGGAGAACATCAAGTCGCACGTGCAGACGCATCTCAACGACCGCCAGTACCAGTGCCCGACCTGCAGGAAGTGCTTCGTGCGCCAGCATGACCTGAAGCGCCACGCCAAGATCCACACTGGTGTCAAGCCGTACCCGTGCGACTGTGGCAACAGCTTCGCTCGGCACGACGCCCTCACCCGCCATCGCCAGCGAGGAATGTGCATCGGCGCCTTTGACGGCATCGTGCGCAAAGTCGTGAAGCGCGGCAGGCCCAAGAAGCACCGGCCCGAGATGGATGCCAGGCTGGACAAGTCTGCTCGTACGCGTGCCAAGAACAAGGACTCGCCCAACGGCTCCCACTCGCCCTCGGACGCGTCTCACAGCGGCTACACAGATAGCTCGGCCCCCAGCTCGCCGTCTTACCACGATGATGGGTTTGAAGACATGCTCGACGATCAGCCATTCCAAGATCTGATGGAGAATGTGCCCCAGTCCTCCGGCCCTCAGCAGCAGCAACAACACAACCGCACGTCTTCGGCTCTCTCAACCGCGCCCATGGGCCTGATGGCCAACACCGCAGCCATGCCCACCATCTCGCCCGCAGCAGTGACTACGGCGGCAGACATGGCCGGTCTCGTTTCTATCGTGGCTGACGTCTCAGCACCCATCTCGTCGCCGGCAGCCATGTCGGACTACTCGCACGCGTCGCACCTGACCGGGAACGGTGGCAACCAGACCCTGCTGGACCCTTTCAACACGTCCCTTGACGACAGCGCCCTGGGCGACGACCTTGGCCTGCCCCAGCAACAGCCGCACGCGCAGCAGACCGCGCCTCAATCGCCCGCCAAGAGCGTGGCCTCGCACTACACCCACAACCAGCCGGGCACGCCCCCTGATCTGTCGGCGTCGAGCTCGCCTCCGCCCAGCTCCGCCGTGACGGGCGCCGATCGCTTCTTCCCCTCCCAGATGATGGGCGGGAACGGGGATGCGATGGGCTGCGCCGGAACGGACATGGGAGTCCTGGGCGGTGGCATGTGTGCTCCTCCGACGGTGGCGGCGACTGCCACTGGCGTTGCGGGTGTGTCGATGGCCGAGGACATGGACCTGTACCAGGCCCTGGGCGCCGGAGGCGAGGATCTCGTTGGCGGGCTCGATGGCCTGAGCGGTCTCGGCCCGTACGGCGCGTTGGGTGGGCTCGTCCACGGCATGCCCTCCAAGTTCGATGAGGAGTACGGCATGTTCACCAACGACGACGTGTCCAGCTACTTCGGTCCTTAAGTGTCCTTCCTGGCCTCGTCTGTCGAGTCTTGGGTCCCAGATCTTCTGGCGTGTTTTGTTTACCTGTGGTGCAGCGTCTGTCGGCGCGGTAATGATGACGAAAGTCAAGTCTTTGAGCCTCTGGCCGGTTTCCGTGCCGTTGTTTCTCAAGAAACGAGATATCTGACGAGAGGCTCAATGGCTTTGTAATAATCTTGGGGAAAACGGGTTGTTAGACGCGGCTGTTCGTGTTGGTTTTTCTTGCTTACTCGGTCTTGTCGGGTGGTTGGGAACTTGTATATTAGATTGTCATTTTTGCCACTTGGATATTTTTGTTGTGCGCATGGAGGACCTCTGGCCCAAAGTTGCCGGCGAGACTCGATGTTCCGCGTTTTTTTTATCTTTTATTAGTATCGTTTCGAAGAGGAGAAGCTGAAGGGCTGCGGGAGATGGAGATGGGAATTCGGGATCACGGAGCGCCTGGAGTTTTGTCTTTGGTTGATTGTCAATGAATGTGGGACCATGGCTTTTGTCTGTCATCCCTTTCTCATCTTCCTCGCATTTTGGTTTTGTCGATTATTGATTATCGGTTGCGACTTTGTGGTTTCAGTGTATGTAATTCGCCGTGGAAGTGATGAGAATAATATCAGGTGTAGCCTTTCCGATTCTTGAGCGCAGGATCAACGCCCTGTAGTGCCCGTGGAAGGAGTCTTCCAGACCATTCGCCGTGAAGGCCCCTGGCCAATTGAGGCCCTCGCCCGCCCAAGCTCACCCCCACTTCAGCCCCACCAAACCGACTTACTTCCCCAGCTGCCTGCTAGATAGCCTGACCTGTCAACATGTTTGATGCTGGCTGCCTGGTCACGCAGCGAGACGGACCTGAGGATCGCACATGTCATCGGAGCCTGGAGGGAGATCGGGAATCTCCAGCTGTGCTCTTCCAGCTCCCAAACCGACCCAACTCGACAGATTTCGCGCCTAAGTAGCCAGGACCAGGTGCCGTTGATATCTGCTAGTTTGACTCCCAAGCGCTGTGGTCTTGACGTGATCCGGGCCTACCTCACTTTTTATATTTGAACCACCCTCTCCTGCTGAGCCTCTACACCTGAGCCCTTCTCGCATCTTCGGCTCTCCAAGGCACAAAACTTTCCCAAAGCCTTGCCAAAGGACCGCAACGGAAAAAGGGCCTTCGACAACACATACCACGACGACACCACTCCCCGTCACAGATCAACCAAGGGACATGACCTAAAACATTTCGCCATGCTGACACCATGCATCACTCAGCCGGTGGATTACCTATACGCCCTCGGTAACACGCCGGCCATCAACGTTGCCAGGGCTGTCCCACCTGGTGTCAACGCCGACATCTTGCTCCTCGGCTGCGGCGATGTTCGCAACCTGCTGTACACGGCCTACGCCGAGAAGGGAATGCCGCCGAGGAAGCTGGACGTCACCTGCTGTGATTCCAACGACTTCATCCTTGCCAGGAACGCCATATTTCTCTCGTTCCTCGTTGATGGTATCCGACCTGGGCAATACTCGAAGCTGCGGAGCCTCTACTACGATCTCTTTGTCGACGAGGCCGTCATCGAGCTCTTTCGCACGCACCTGCACAAACTGGCCGAGGCTGCGGGATCGTGGGAGACCTGGAATGGCGGCCCATATGGATCCGTGATAAAGTTCGCCGATCACCACACCTTCCTCATATTCCGTCGCATCCTCTCGAAGCTCTCCTATGCTGCCTCCACCGACGGCATCGCCTCCAACTTTAACAAATACCAGGCCAGCTTGATGGCCACCTGGCGCGAGATGCGGGGAAATACGGGCGTGCAGGGCTCCGTCATCACTGCGCTGCGGTCCGCCGCGCCTCTGTCCCTCCGTCTCAGCGACGAGTCCATCGCGAGCGACGTCACGGTCTCGTACAACCAGTATTGGAACAATGCCATGGATTCTCCACCGACCGACCGTGCAAACCCGCTCTTCGCCCTTCCCCTCGTTCGCGGCGAGTCTGTGCTGCACTCTGGAACCGACCCGGTCGCCGGCTTCCATCTGGCCACGGCCTTCGCGCCACTTATGCCTGGCTCACCCGTCAGAATGGATTCGGCCGCGCGGCATAGCATCCCCAAGTCCAAGTGGGCAATGCAAGAGCTGTTCCGCGAATGGACCCAGGCCCTCCAGGAGACCATCAGCCATGGCCGCTTCGTCGTCAGGCTCGTGTCGACTGATGCTCTCAGCTTGTGCCACACGCTGCGATACTGCGCGGCCAAGGACCCTGAGCGCCCTTCGGCCGGGCTCTACCGACGCCAGCTCAGCGCGCAGGCCCTCGAGCTCGACCAAGGCCAGTACGGAGGGGCGGCGAAGGACACTGCCGCGCCCGTCACGTTCGACGCCATCGACTCGTCAAACCTGGCAGACTCGCTCGGCGCCTTCAACATCCTCTTCTCGGCGGGGCCGCTCCTCAAGCCTGCCCCCTGGGCCGCGCTGTCCACCGAGATGCTTAGGAGCCCCGAGGTGGACGAGCGCGAGTCCTTTGCCAAGCTCCTGCCGGGAGGCACTCTGACCCTGGCCCATATTCTGGGCTTCACCGTCGCCGAGTACTGGACCAACACGACTACGGCTGGCGGTGGGCTCGAGGTCATTGGCTCGATGCTGAAGGGGAGTGATGGTGGTCCCGCCCGCATGTTCCCAGGGCGCATGACCTGGGTGCCAGATACGCAGCTCTCGGGGCTTGGAAACACCGCGCCCAGCCGTCTCAAGCTTGACACCGACACGGCCATTGGCATCACCGGGCGCGTGTACGCAGACATGTTCGACGCAGAGAATGTCAAGACCCTTATGCGCTCCACGGCAGATCAGACACTGCCGCGGAGGGGCGGCATGCCGCAGTCGCACCGGGGAACCTTTGTGGCCCTCTTGAAAGCGCTCATGTCCACGGTCGACACGGACTGGGATGCTGTCAACAGGGCGCTCATCGAAAAGAACTACAGCGACACGGCCATCATAATGGGCAACAACTACGGCCAGGAACTCGTCACGCTCATGCACCTACACGGCGTCTTTACGGAGCAGTGGCTGTTGAGCGAAGTGAAGACCGACCCCCAGCACAGTCCTGCACGCTACCAGAAGTGGGCGCGCATCCCGGAGATCATGGCCGTGACCTTGGTCGTGCCACTTGAGGCTGTGAAGAAGACGTTCCTCGTCGCTGCAGGCGCTCGTCCCGCGCTCTCGTTTCAAGTGACGCTCAAGTCCAGCCGGGGTGCCTGGGTTAATTATTTCGGATGTGCGCAGATGAGCATCGGCACCGTTGAGGCGCAAGGCTCACCGCAATCGGAGGACTTCAAGGTCAGCGTCAAGGAGGATAGAAACGGCTGGACAGGCAACTCGCCGGTCGTTGTGTCCTTCTACTGCCCGACGTCGGCCCTCCAGGTCGAGCCCACCTCAGCCCTCATCAGTCTTGATGTCCAGCCGACGCTTCAAGCCATCAGGATGCTCAACGGCCGTCCAGGGAACCCGAAGATGGTTTTCCAAACCAACCTCTGCGACAGCTCTGCCGTGTTCTTCTCGAGGTATCTGCCGGGACACTCGTCGTACCCTATTGTCTCTACGTACAAGGAGCCTGCTGGCGATTCTCGGTCCGACAAGCCCTCGAGTCTCTCCATGGACGCCGCGACTGGTGAAATAGCAGCTCTGACTGGACGTGTCGACATCACGGACGAGGAGGGCAGGAAGCTTCTCGCGGACAAAGTGCCCATACAGCTGCGACAGACATCTCCCTTTATCATCGAGGTCGTGTTCGGAGATGACGACCTAGTCTACCCGCTCCATTTTAAACTTCCTGTAGAAAATCAAGGCTCCCGGACCAGAATCGCCAGGACCTCGGGTTACGTCGAGGTGGTCGCACCGCTGGCCAAGCCAACCGAGTCGGAGCATCTCCAGGGCTTCATGCACCCAATGGCGATAGCCGCCCGGGCGAGCGAGGAAGAGGATGTCACCACTGTGCCCTCCGTTCTCTCGTCCACTCTCCCATATGTCAACCTCGACATGCTGCCCAGCTTGGTCGTGTCGTCTCAAGACAAGCAACCGATTAGGTGGCTTACAACTCTAGCCTCGCACATATTCAGCAACCGCGAGCGCCGGATCCGCGAGCAGGTCCAGAACAGCGACATCACAGACGCCTTGAAGCTCACGCCTGCCGGCACTGCCAGGACCAACTTCAAGGAATCGCTCTTCAGCATGTTCATGGTCGCCTCGGGCCTGCAGGGCGGTCAGACGGGCCTCTTCGCGCTCGAGAAGCCTGACAGCGCCGGCGGCGGCAACGCGGGGGTGCAGATGCTGGTCGTGGTCTCGGCCCTGCGGCTCGACTGCGCCGGCGGCACCGTCATCGCAGACGCGGCGGTCCTGCCGCTAACGCGGTCCCTGCTGGCGGGCGACGCGGACCTCCGCGCCTTCCTCGCGCTCTCGCAGTCGTTTGAGGTCTGCTACCTCAAGGTCGACGACGCCGAGCTGGCGCTCTGGCGCCGCGCCCTGCCCGCCATGGCCGAGCGGTGCCGCACCTGGGAGCACGACGCCGCGGCGGGCGCGTGCGAGTACGGCGCCGCCGGCGTGTCGTTGCCCCTGCCCGAGGAGGGCGGTGTCGGCGTCCCCGGCGGCAGCCCCGTCTTTTGCTCGTGCGGCCGCGGCCGCCTGCCCGCCGACTTTGTGTCCATCCCCCAGTGGGACGAGGCGGCCCGGCCGCACGCCACACGCGTCGCCCTCGGCCTCGTCTTCGCGGCGCCCTTTGTCGAGGAGGTCGTCGACCAGGTCGCCCTGGCCGAGCTCCGGGCCATACGGGACGGGGATCATCATCCCCCGGCGCCCGGCCCTTCTGCTGCCTCTAGCGACGGCCCAGGCGAGGGCAGCAGTGGCGGCGGCGTCACCTCGGCCGCGAGGCATGCGTTGCCGGACTCGGACAGGTGCCTGACGTGCGGCGCCCTGGACGGGTCGCCCGTCGCGTCCTCGCCGTCCCCGCTCCCCAGCGCCGCCGATGTCGTGAGCCTCAGTAGGTGCAACGGCTGCAGGCGCGCAAAGTACTGCTCCAGGGACTGCCAGCGCAAGGACTGGAAGCGCCACAAGCCCGAGTGTGTCCCTGACGTCCTCGGGTCTACCATCTAGAGCCCGCCAATTCTGGCTGCTAGAGTGGGCGGTGTCTTGGCCGCCGTTTGTGTTAGCTTTCTGCCTTTTTTCCTCCCTTGTTCTGACGGGTCCCCCTTGGCCGACATAAGCAACGTGTACCCGGCATAGGCGATATGTTTTTGCTGTCGTCCGCTATTTGTTTCGTTCTGCAGGATCGGGCGCGGAAGCCAATGGTCTAGCGGAGAGGGCTGCGTGCTTGCACCGTTTCCACTTTGCGCCTAGTCGGAATCTGTAGGAACTTATTCTTGGCGAAATGTTTGACATTGGTCTTTGTTTGCCTACCACTTCGATAATGGACGACATGGGTGGAGCGTCACGGAAGGGTCTTAGGGAAAGGAAGGAGTTGTAGTCAAGGGATGAAAATGATGATACGGTAGCGAATATGATTCCCTAGTCTCACTCATGTTGGGTTGCGGTGTGGATCGATAGCAACAGCAGGACTCTCTGTAACCGAATCGCACATGTCTGAGAGATTATTTCGTGTCATTATCATGCTTCATTGCTCAGGCAAGGGCAAGCAGCTCACGCTCGCGTTGGCAGACAGAACACCTCGTGATATAAAGGTGATGGAATAGCAATACAAGCGACATACCGACCACCGCCTCACGTTTGCATTCAGGGCCACTGTCACACGCCTGGTTCACAAAACCTATCCAAACGCAAAACAACATGTGGCACATCAGAAGCAAAGCAAAAAAAAAATGTATCGACGCTCACCACCTCCCGGCCCAACTCTCCGCCCCCCACAACGCCCGGACCAGAGATCGAGGCGATTGCAGATGACAGGGCGGCGGCGTGGCAGGGAGAGCAAATGGTCAATCCGCATTAGAAATGCCAACCAAGCCCGTTTTGCCCCCTCCCTCGCCTCCAAGATGGCGTCGACGTCAACCCTCCCTGTGGACCTGCCCCATGGAACACCCCAATCCATGCCCAACGCACGCGTACACCATCCAAGCCAGAGGATTGGGTGATGGCGTGGAGGGAGGATGGGCCATACTGGGACAGAGGGATGTAAAAAAATGAGGTTGAACATTTGATATACCGCTCGGAATACAGAGCTTGGTCAAGGATGAATCTCGCCTTGTGCTCCACCCGGCCGTGCGGACGAGACAAAGTCTCTTGTGCTTGATAGCAGGAAGAAGGGGTAAAGGGAAGGAGCGGGAAATGAAGGCAGGGGAACATTCATAGGTCGCCCATGGAGTGGTACTTGAGGAGCATCACAAACGCCAACGGTAATAGGTGCCGGCGTCCCATGCCAGGGACTTGGCGTAAAACGTCCTCTATTAGATGTGCAGAACCGCACCCCCAGAAATTTGCACGGGTATCATTTGGCGGTCCACCGTTGTTGTTGTATCTTGCAAGTCTCGGGCCCGTCCTAGAGAGTGTCAGTAGTCAACTAGACGCCCGCTGTTCTGCTTCTAGCACGGATCCTAGCTCGTCTCGAAGAAAACGTTGGTGGCTCCGCCGACGCTAGGGCCGAAGCTCCCAAAGCCACCAGCACCGCCTCCACCCTCCATATCTTCGAGTGCTCGGTCGATCTCCATGATGTCAAGTATCTCCTCCTCCACGTTGCGCTCGTTGGCCGCCTCCTCGTCATCGTCAGCGTTGGCCGCATCCTCGAGTTGGTCCGTGAATCCAAAGCCGGTGTCGCGCGGGCGGGCTCCCATCATGCTCTGAGTCAGCGTCGGCTCGTCCGCGTCGTAGAGTCCCCGCGCAAACGCCGGGACCCGATCCTGCCGCCCACTCGGACTGTCTTCGTCATCAAACGAAGGGATCCCCGGCCTCTTTCCAAAAAGGCTCTTCTTCCCGCGTGTGCTGGCCCGCATGCTGCCAATACCTCCAAGGCTCTGGGCGAGCACTGCCGCACCCTGTGGCAGGGCGACACCCGGGCGGGGGTGGGGGACAATCGCAGGCGGCGGCACAACGTCCTGTGCCGGCCCCAGGGCGCGTCGTCGTGAAGCACTGAGCTTCTCGTTTATGAAGCTGTGAACAGCCATGTCGTCTTCTGCATCTCGAACGCTAACCAGCCTGCTCTCGCCACGAATGAGCACTTCAATGGACAGTTTCTCGTTGTCGCTTTGGGAAGAGTGACCATTAAGGTGGTCGTCGGCGCCTAAGCGTCGCTGTTGTGGCTGCGCCCGCGGGATTGCAACCACACCGCAACAGCGCTCGCCGAGCAAGCCCAGGCTAATATCTGCCAGACGGACCATGCGCCCTGCAGCCTGCGTACCACCTCCCCTGTCGAAGATATTGTTTCCTCCGCCGCCGCCGCTACGGCGAGCCTGAGCATCCCAGAACCGGCCTACGGACGGGACGACGGCAACGATGTGGTCGACGCCGCCCATCCAGACAACCGCACTCTCGTCACCGTGACTGGATGGCGACCGCCCGGGCAGTTGGACAATATCAACGCCGCCCCGCACGGCAGCAAGACGCCCCGGCCCGGACCCAAGGGAGACGGACAGAGCCTCTCGCCTAGTGTGCGGGGTCATCGGGACCAGGTCGGCTGATGACTTTTGTGCGCCGGGGTTGCGAAGAGGGCTGGTGCCCTCGAGATACCCCGAGACACTAAAGGTTGTCAAGGCAGCTCCCCGAACGCCCGAGTTTGCCTTGCTGAAAAGGCCGCCAGCCGATGGCGTCGAGCCCGCAACTGAAGGACCAGCTCCATCAATGTCCCAGATGCCCCACTGGCCGTCAGCTAGCAGAACCAGAACAGCCCGACCATAAGAGATCCAAGCGGCTGCAATGACGGGTTTCCTGGCCGTCGAGGGTTCTGATCCCCGTATAAATGGGGTATACAGTGATACAAGCCAGGATCCTTGGGATGGCAGCGGGCCATCCGACTCATCTTGTGGTACTGAGGGTATCGAGTAGTCATATATGCGAACGGCATGGGGCGAAGCCACAGCGAGCAGCTGTGTTGTGTGCAAAGGGTTAAAGCAAAGACTGGCCAGCGGGCTGGGAAGGTACTCGGTTTGGAATGGCTCCAGTGGGCGCTCGCTTGCGGGTCGTTGGATGCCGATGGAGACATCCCAGAGACGGAGCACACCAGTCCCCTGCCTCGAGTGTGCGGCGACGATGACCCTGGTAGCCTGCGAGCTCGAGCGGCCAGCAGATTTTCTGTGGCCTTCCGGGCCTGCAGGCGCCTGTTTTCCCAGAGTGATAGCCAGCGCATCGCTATACTGGGCCTGGCCGCAAAGCGGAACCAAGGTCTCACCGAAGAGACCTTTGCCCACGACAGCGCCCCGCAGGTCGCCTCTCAGATCCGGACGGGACTTGCTCTCGTGCGAGGGGGGCGTGAGCGGCAGTGTGACGAGGAAGACGTCGGCGTTGAGGCATGTCACAGCAAACACCATCTGCCCCTTGAGTATCTCGGCACCGCCCCATGCCGCGTCCTCGGCGGCACTATGGGGTGAGGGTAGGACGGCAATGTGGCGCACAGCGGTTCCCAGAGCCAGGTCGAGGGTCTGCACCGTGTCCGGGAACTGGGAATCACCCGCTAGGTCGGCGTCTTCGAATTCGGGCTTGTCGACGAATGGCTTGGCCGTGGGGGGCGGCTCCTCGTCGTCCGAGTCTATGATCATCACAGCGTCGTCGCTCCCCCCGTTCCTTTTATCTCGGGTTGCTGGATCGGCAACATCCTTCTTCGGCGGTTTGAGGCGCCTGCCACCGCGCCAGACCACCGTGATGCCATTCTCATGGCCGTAGACGACAATGGTTGCGCCTTGCGGTGACCGCACCGGATATGTCTTGACGTCGTAAACGTGCTGGTTCAGGTTGTATCTGTGGTCGCAGAGCAACGTTAGATATGCTGTAGAACTCGCAACCGATCCCAAGAGCTTGTGATTATCGTCTCACGTGTACTGGGTATTTTGAGCCGTGCGCCTTATCCTGGGCGCTGAACTGGCCGCCATCATTCTCAGCCAACAGTGCAATGCAGCCAAGTTGAAAGCACAGGGTCGAACTTTTGGCGGTATAAGGGGCCGCGAGAGCCTCCTAGTTTTGTTGCATTCCCAAGCTCGCGATCAGAGTGGTTGCTTCAGCTGTGGTGTGTGGTGGTGGGCTGGGCGGGTTCGTGGGCAATGGGATGCAAGGTTGTGTACTGCGAAGCTGTTGTCAAAACGCGTTTGCCGATTCGTGATCCACGCATCCTAGCCTGAACAGACACACGCGATACTGGTCCGTGCGTTGCACAACTCGAGGTCACGTGCCGTATGGAACCCAGACGACAGGCGCGATAACGGGGCAGCCAAGACACCCATCACGTGGTAAAGATAAGACCGCACAAGCCGCTTGATGGAATGCCACCGATGCAGTGCCCACCCGATAATGTGACGGCTTGGTGGCTGCTGACACGGCAACTCGTGGGCACGTCAGAGAGCGGGGGCTGGCACGTGCGCTAACACGTGATAGTGCCTGCGGCACTGGCGCTAAATTCATTCATTTCACTTCATTGCTGACACGACAATCAATCAAACCTGATATTTTTGGGGGCCCGTCAACACGAAGCATGCGTGCAACGTGCCCAAGTAAGCGCGGGCCGTGCTTGGCGAGACATCTCTCTCCCCTCTGCCGCCCAAAACTTCCCCCATGACGAGAAGAGGCAGATCCGACATGCACCGCGGGGTGGGATGAGAGAAGGGAGTTCGGGTCGGAAATTGGGTTGAGCAATTCTGATGCGCGTGCCATCACATCTCCAGTCCCTTGCTCTCAATATCAGACATCACTATCTCGCACATCAGACGGTTCGGAAGCCAAGGAGAGGCTGACACGGCTAAGCGACGCCCTTGCAATCCGTGCTCGAGCATCAACAACTGAACTTTCTGGTGTTTGGCCGCGACGCACGACCACTGACCGGCATGGGGAAGTTTATATGTCGCAGCGTGTACCAAAGAGGAATGGCGAGGACAATGCCGGCAACAGACAGCCAATAGCCTATCGCCGCCCTTGCTGACGACAGCATAGATGGCACCGTAACCCACCGACAGGCACCAAGTCAGCGGCATCGATAATGGATGTTGTCGCCTGCCACCTCTCTGCTTCAGGTGGCTGCTTGCTCTGTCAAAACACAATAAGACAGCCACGCTCGGGCTTGACCTCAGACAAAATTAGTCTGGCTCATCGCTCACTCCAGCGTGCTCTATCGTGACGTCGACAGGACAGCAATATTTTGGTCTCGCCTTCTCGGTGGAGCTCGCAAAACTCCACCTAGCCAGGTTGTGTCACGTTAGTGTTTCTTGTTTCACAATCTCTAGATGGGCTGGGCGTGGCTTCATTCAGGGCGGCGATTCAATCGATCAATACTGGTCAGCACTGCCACCGCAAAGCGTCCGGCCATGCTTTTGTGCCCATCCCGTTGTCATGCTTCTGCCACACAGTCCTGAATCCCGTCTATTTTTTTTGTCCCTTTTTTCTGTTCTTTAGGGTTTCTCTCCCTTCCCTTTGTCTCTTTGCTGGGCCTTGTCGAAATACGAGGGCCGGTTCCGCTGGAACGGGGAAGAGAGAAGAAACTAACATCAGATGATGATTGCAACAAGGTGACCGCAAATAAAAGGAAAAGGAAAAGCTGCAAAAGGAAGCATACAGCACAGTGCTGTGGTTGTGTCAGCGCATAACCTCATCGGGAATTTGACGCCGACCTATGACGAGGAGCTGCTTGGGTGCCCAGTTGGCAAGCAAATGTGGATGTTAGTGCATGCACACCCAATTCCAGGGCGCGCTTAACAGACAACCGCCAACGGCAATGCAAAGCTCGTTGGCGTGCAGAAGACCGAACCAGAGCCCAGAGCCCCCTGAAAATACTTTTCGTGTTCCTGGCAGGTGCGACGACCAACCACCAAGAAGGGGGTTGGCCCGACTCAGGGCAGCCAATCAAGACGTCAGATGGAGCCGGGGCCTGCCAATCCCCTGCCTCGCTTGGCTGCGCCGCCAGCAGCACCCCGTTGCACTAATCTCAATCCGTACCGCGGAAGCGCTGATCAGGTATCCGCGCACCACGCCACATGTACCGCGTCTGCATTCCGCCGCCGACGAGTGACCTATCCATTGACGCTTGGGGGACATCTCGGCTGCGACAGGGGGGACCGTTGCCCGATTTACCCACCCGCAGCGCAATTTCCCTCCTTCCTGGCTTTCCGCGACTCCTGATCCATCGCGGCCCACCGACACCAGACCCCAGACAGTCGACGCGCAGGCTCGCTCCCTCTTTCCCCTTACCGCCGCTCCATTCTCTCCATTCTTCCCCTCGACAAAACTGTTTTCGCTCCCTCCTCCCAACCACCAGCCCGAAACCACCACGGCTGTCACTCGTTTGACAATTCCTCTCGTTTTTTTCCGTTTCTCTTCCATCCGACCGTCGATTTTTCAAGTCGACATTCCACACTCTCTCCTTTTCAACTTCAGGCGCGGGACTGTCCTTATCCTGCAGAGGTCAAGAGGAGGAATCTTGCTTTCAATGCCCAGCCACTAAAGCGAGCCTCCAAACGGGAGCACGCAGAAATCGAGATCACGAACCGAACCGACTTCGAGTCACCAACCCATATCCCAATCCCCGGGACGACGTCAAAGGACCCAACCCGAAACCCCCATCGTCGGCTGGTTCCTGCACTTCTCCCCACCCGTTTCTTCTTGTTCTTTTTTTGGCGTGATTGTCCACGCCGCTCCCTTTGTCCAGCGCCTTTCCACCTCAACCTACCTGTCTTTTTGTCGACTTGTCACGCGAGTCGATCCTGAACAAAGAAGCCATCGACTGCGGCAACCGTGTTTGGACTTCATCTGGGTCCACTCATCCCACGACCAGGCACCGGTCGTCTCCAGTCCAGTATCGCACTCGACATCCACATTCATCTACCGTCATCATGCAGTGCTTTACAATCGCCACGGCCGTCGTGGCACTCTTCGCCGGCGCCGTCATCGCCGATCCCCCGACCCCAGGTCAGACCGAGAAAGGCCTCCAGCGGAAGCCTATGCGGCCAATTCCTAATGACGCTACCGTCCACGGATGCTACAGCAGTGGCGCCGGGCTCCAGCTGGTGGACAAGGCAGTCAAATTCAACACCATGGGCGAATGTGGTGTGAAAATTTGCAACGTAATGGGATACAAGGTCGGCGCGAGCTACCAAGGCACCCAATGCTGGTGTGGAAACACATACCCGCCAGGTTCGAAGCTGGTCGACGACAAGCAGTGCAACATTCCATGCCCAGGCTACGACTGGGACGCCTGTACGTACTCTCTTTCTCAGACATGTAGTCCTGATGTCCTTTTGCTAACTTCTATATCTTTATCTAGGTGGCGGACCGAGCGCCTTTACTGTATACAACACAGGTATCGACCTGTACGGCGTTGAGAACGCCACCGAGACAGTAAGCTCAACGACAAGCTCCTCCGCTACGCCAAAACCTACCGAGTCTACGGCCGATGCTGCCCCTGTTCAGACCACGAGTGCGCCACCAGAAAGTAGCAACAGTGGCAGCGGCAACACTGCAGCAATCGCTGCGGGTGTCGTTATTGGAGTTCTTGCCATGGCCGCTGCCGCCGGTGGCCTTTGGTTCTTGCTAAGGCGTCGCCGCAACCGCGAAATTGAGGAGGAGCACCGCCGTAACGCTGCGGTCAACGCCTTCATTCACGGAAACAAGCCCGGTAGCAGTGGCGGTGTGTCCATGACTGATTCCCGCATGGATCCCGTCATGGCTCAAAGGCGTATGAGTGACGGCAGCATCGCAGACAACCAAGACTACTCTCGCAGGATTCTCCGAGTATGTAACAATCCCTCCCCTCCTGCCAACTCCCGCGACTAACATCCTGCCTTCTTTCTAGGTCACCAACGCATGAGTAACTTCCCCCGATGACGACGAACGACAAAGTGTATTCTACTTCTCATCGGCATTATCGGCGTTTGGGACACTCGAATCCAGAGCGGCGACGAGACCTCGCAACATCCGCTCGAGGCATGCTACTCTAGCCTCTGGGTCATGGAACTGCAAGATGATTGGCCATCAAGTCGGCATTTGCGCACCATTGAAAGCCTCGGGGATGGCGGAGGCTTATATCTCAATCTTCCTTTACCGCCACCAGTGGCTGGACGCTATCCTCATGATTTAGCCAAGCCGTGGCATCTTCCCCTATCATCCATTATTTCTTCCACGATCCAAAGCGCTTGGATGCGTGTTCCATACGGTATTGCCTCTGTCCCGGTTCTTTTCCTTTGAATTTCTTTTTTTTTTTTAGAGTGACTTGGGCATCATCTGGGGTCACCTAGCTGTCCACCCCCAAGAACTGGGTTTAGTCGTTACTGTTTGTCCTTTTGCGACAATGGTGACGAAAGAAGAAGAATATGTGTATATCCCCTCCCTCCCTGTGTGCGACCCTGGTTCCCGCTTCGGGGCTGCAGCTTATAGTGTGACTGAGGGCTACTTCCCTTCTATGATCAGTGTCATTGGCTCGCGGCTTCGAACGGTCCGGGCAAGTCAATGGGAGCATATGTGTACTAAGAAGGTCTGTCGAACTGGGCTGCCTTGCCGGCGTTTTCATATTTTTCCCCTCGTATTTTATTATAAGTAAGTCAGTAATAGAGGATACCTAGCAATTCGGCGGATGAGAATATAGAATTTGTACACTCGTAACCATACTCTCATGCGTTCTTTCGGTTCTGTGTGGCAAGTGAAGCTGGTCTCATCCTCGCCGTCTGTTTTGGTATTGAGCACCAGGCTATCTCTCCGGAATGCCAACCTCGGCGACTGATCGGGCTGGTACCGGGTACGCCATCGCTTAGGCGAAGGTTCGGTTCTTTTACATCTAGGTCACTCCTAGGTAGGTGAATGGTTTGTCACTTATTTGCCTTTTCGCTCCAATGTCATGCCGATTCCATCATTGGTGCCTCTATCCATCCTCGGGTTGGGTTATATATCAACTACTTCATACTCACCTACCATCATCCATCTATCTTTAATGTAAACTGTTCCCTGCTCCAAATATTTTCCCACCTCCATGTCGTAAATCACTAGCTTCGAAGCACCTTCCTGCACCATGCATTATTCGGCGACCCTCGTTGGCATTGTGTAGATACTAGGTAGATATAATTTGGATATGAGATTGCATGTTTTGTTGCATTTTTCTTTCCCCACTCTCTTGTATCAACCGAGCTGCCATGGCACGCGGAACACCGTTATTTGTATCGACTGCGCATCGGACATATATTGTTTCTTTTTGCCCTTGACTTTTTTTCCTGCTGTATTTCTCTCGTTGTTTTTTTTATTCGCTCCTATATCATCTTCCTCATTTTTCCCCAGTCCCTGATCGCGAAAACCCCTCTTCCAAACCCGTTTATTCGTCGTCCTGTGATGATGGTGTGCTGCTTAAAGGAACACATTTCGGCCAGCTTATAAACCATTCGTACCCTCATATAGCTCTCTGCACACATATTAACCCGCGAGTCTCGTCTGCACGTGACAGCCTCTACCACAGAGGAACGGCCGTTCGAGGACCAACAGTTGACACGAATCAGCCCAAGCGGTGTTGAGGTACCTACTACTTACCAGACATGTTGGTAGTTGGTGAGGTATGCCTTTGACTTGATGACAAAAGATGATCTGAAATGCCATAGGGAGCAGGATCCTAAGCACAGCATCGGAGTCTCTTCGCCGCCGCAATCCTTCTCTAGACGCTCCCTCCATCTCGGTCCAGTGATGCTGGCGCCTTGGCACCCGTCGATAGGTGTCGTTTGTTTGCCTGCCCATCGCGAGGCAGCCGAGCGGTTCGCGAGATGGGTATTGCTCTCAGCTTAGCCTCTGGTGCTGCACCATGCCAGCCCAAGTGGACCATGGTCGCACTCGTCATCTCGTGACTGTGGGCCTATTTCGCTCTTCCAGGGATGGCAGTGATTTTGAACTCGAGCTGATCACGTGTGATAAGTGGGTAGATAGCTACCTACACCTCTACCGGGCTCGACTGGGCTTGTCAAGGAGACGGTCCACTTATCCATAGCATCGGACCGGCCTGGATACCGACCCAGTGCCTGCCTCGACCCACATAAAAGACGTTCGCAGACGGGCCGAACATGCCCATCAAAAGACGCTCTCGACGCTTGTTTCGTCTGTTGTGTTGTCAGGGGTTTGAAGATTGGGTGGGGACGACAAGGTCGCAGACGGCACGCGTTGATCTGGCACCTGGATCGTGCAGCGCGGCAGAGGCTGTCTTGCTCCTTGGGCCTACAGTCATGCCCATGCCCGCACGTCTTCAGTTGCCCACGCCATGCGTGCCCAGGTGCTGCCAGGACCGTGCCGGCGCCGCGAGGGCGGATTGCCGCCTACAGGGGGTCGATTGCTTCGGGCACGCGATGGCCCTGCAAACGGCACTGCGACTGGGCTAGATGAACACGGGGGGGGGGGGGGGGGGGGGGTTCTGGAGGCGTGGGACACGAGGCCGATTCGCGCGGGATTTGACGAGTCAGGAATATCACCCGCCGATCCTGCCATCGAACCACCAACTCGGGATCCCAGGAAGTTAGGAAGTCAGTGGCTGCCAAAGGTCCGACACACCGAGAGGCATCATTTGTGAAGCTGCCACTGCCAAACATGAAAACGAACGGGGCTCTACACAGTACACAGTATGCTGGCACCAACTATGCCCGAGCAACACAGGAGCCAACTCGGAAAGCGTGTGTCAAGGTCCAGACAAAGACCACTCAAGGTTCTGACCCTGCCTTTGCCTTGGCTGCGCAGGTTTTTCACCTGATTCTTGGCCAAAGAAGCAAAATCAAAAGCCCCGGCGCTGGGGGTGGTGGAAATTAGCGTGGCCCGCTTCGCACGGGATGGATGATTTGCGGCACAGCGGTCCCCTGACACTCAAGTCGCTCAAGCACGGCGCCGCGGCTTCCAGCGGTTTGGCGCACTGGCGGATGGCCCCAGCCTGCACAGCTGCTTGCCTGTCCAGCAGGCATCGCTGCGTCCGTCGACCCCACTTCCGGACTATTGTGTTCCTCCATGTTCCTGGCCCCCCCAGCGCCCAATGGGCTTCATGTTCTTTTCGCTTGTTCTGTGTTTCCTTCCGTGGATGCTACGATAGCATCCATCGTGGACCTATCCCCCAACACGAACCGCTATCTGCCTCCCCCTCCCATACAACATGGACGTAGCGCCGCAACGCAGTAACAGTAGACTCCATTGCTTGAAGGGACGGGCAAATCAGGATGCGTCCGGGCGGGGTCCCTCGCGCTTTTCTTGTCTTGTCCTCCTTCCAATGTTTGGCTGCTGCAGGGCTCCGTCGTCGTGCCCCTGGCTCGGCTTCCGGACACGACGAAGCCAGGCCTTCACTACCTCTAGAGAGCACTGTGCACACATGGAGAGCCAGCAGATTCGGCCCCCAGATCCCGCTTCGTTGCCGACAGGGCACGACATGGATTGGGCGATTGACAAGAGGTGCCGGATGCGGCAGACCTACAGGCTACAAGGATACTAAACGTTACGACCCGCAGATCCTTCCTAATTAGGCCACGTCCAGTCTACATTTTTTCCCACTACAAATTGTGCGTTGAAATATGTACCCTTACCCCCCTTGCTAACACAGGTTCCAGGGATCAGAATTGTTAGTGCGCTGGATCCTTCCTAATTAGGCTACGCACCCCGCCAAATCGATGTATCGCTACCCGCACCTCCATTTGCCAGAACCCACTAGAATCGTCACCCACAGATGAGATATCAACATACACTGATCTCTACTACAAATTGTGTGGCACGCTGTGTACCCTTACCCCCCTGGTTGATCCACCGCACCAACGTTTCTGATCCCTGGAACCTGTACCCTGGCCAACCCCCCTTCCCATAGCGTAACGTTTAATACCTCGTAACCTGTACCTACCCACAAGCCCCGGCCGGCGCGCCTGGTGCTCATTGGGCACACCCGCTTGGATCCCTTCCTCCTGCTCTCCACACCAATACTTCCGGATGGGATGGACATGTGTCGATATGCGTGCTTCTATGTAGCCGTCGTTGCTGGGCCCAGGAGTTACCCCCCCGCCAGTCCTGTTCCGAATGCTGCCCAGCACTGCCGACTTGTACTCCAAGCTGCCGCCTACAATACAACCTGTCCAGACAAAGAGCCTTCCATGCCTTGATCTTGGTGAACAAATGCCTTCTGCCCTGCCTACCATACTCCTGCGTACCGCCATCGTGCCCTTCGTCGCTTCGAGGGTCTGATGCTTGGCGCCTTGATCCTCTGGTCACCGGAAATTGACCACCCCCCCCCCCCTCTCTCTCTCTCT